AAGATTCTTATTACACATGTGTAGGAATGTGGTAAAACTGTCAAGTGCTTCATGAAATAACATAATATAAAAAATTTCTCTTGATTTAGACAGTCGCATTTGTTCGTCTTCTGTGGGATTTTTTATTTTAATAAACTGACTTGTGTAGACTTTGCAATTTCAAAATTATTTTTATGTTTCACCAGTGTTTATGTTTCATTAATAAAGACCTATTTGCATTTTTCATTGTGAATTTGCAACATTAGCAAAAGCTAGAATCTGCATTGTCCTTGTCCTGCTGAGGCTATAGCCAGTTGTTGAATTCAGGATCTTTAAGCCAGTCTAAGATAAAACTTTGATTATACCATTTAACTTTTTTCTTTGATTTTTCGAGTTTTGGTGAATCTATACATGCTGGTTCACTATTTAGCTTGTACTGTTTTTCGTATGGTTGCTAATAGGGTTTCCAACTCAATAAAATAACATTTACTGACAAATATAAGAACTCTCAACAAAATTTACGGACAAAAAAATTTTTTTACGGACACATTTAACATAAAATGTTGACCTTAAAACGATCTGTCTAAACAAGTCCATCTTGCCGCGATGCGTCTCGCCGCGCGAGCCTAGCTGTCAAAAAGCTCTTACAGTTTATTAATAGACTAAAATAAAACAATTTAAAAATTAAAATTTAAATCAAGAAAATAGATATCACAAACATGGGCGCCCGCAGAAAACTTTCTAGAGGGGGGGGGCAAAAAATCGATTAACTTTCCAGGGTGGGGGGAATATGTTTAGTAATGTTTTAATATAGTTTTAATTTACTGTAGAGTATTTGTATGGTGAACGAAAGGACAGGACATCAGCTTAGTTACTTTCTCTTTATTTTCTCTTTACTTTAATAAATGTTTTGTCTATTTTTGTCTAAAAATTTGTATCCAATCAATCCAGGGGGGAGGGGCAAGTGCCCCCCTTGCCCCTACCTGCGGGCGCCCATGACCACAAACATGATTTACTGGTTTTTTAAATGTTGAGATTCCACGATTTGTCGATTTTTTTTTACGGACGTCTTAATTTTTTAACGGAATTTTACGGACAGGCAATTTTACGACAAATCTTTACGGACTGTCCGTAAATTTACGGACGGTTGGCAAACCTGGTTGCTAATGTCTAATAATTGCCTAATGATAAAGTTTCCGAGCCTACCTCCCCCCCCCCCCTCACAAATTTTATATTATTAATAGTCCATACCTAATCCTATTGATTTCCTTTTAGATTTTAAGATTTATTTATTGTTCAGACTGTCCTATGCATGTGGTGTACACGGTCAATTAGATCATTATTCAACACACACATGTAATTTGTAAATCTTCAACGTAAAAAAGAAAATATTTTTAAAAATTGAATTTCTTTAATTATTGACTTTTTAATACTTCACAATATTAACTTTAATTTTATAAGATTGATTTATTTATGAGTGGTTTTAAAAAGGAAAACCCTTCGTTATACGGAAAGGATCAAAACAATTAATTTTTTTCCTGGTTACTTAAAAAATTATTTTGCTTTATTTTCACTTAATTTTATCACACATATCGTTTGCGTTTTTCGAAAAATGTAAAAAAAAATCTTCCTCGTTAAGATTTCCCAAGATTTTCAAAAGTATTTCCCAGATCCCAATGAGGGTAATGAATTCCCAAGATCTTGGGAAATTTCCCAAGGTGTGGTAGCCTTGCTCCCATCCCATAATGCATTTTTAGAAACGAGAGCGGTAGATTCAAGATGTCCACCTGACGAATGTACATAATTATTTAATTATACATTATATTGTATACTATCGTTACCTTTTCAACCTAACGAATTCATTTGCAGAACAAAAACAACGAAATCCTTATTTGATTAGTAATTATCCTACAAATTTTCAGAAAAGTAAAATTGTGTAACTTTTTTTTTTTATTAACCTGTTTACAGTGACAGTGTTTAAGGTTAGTAACTAAGTTTAGGCTTAGGCTGTTTTGACTTTTGTCAGTTTTGAATCTGTTAATTAATGACTTACTTAATGATTCAAAACTTAATTTTAAATCGTTATGAATGTTTCTGTTAAAGTAAAAGTTTAAAAGTGTTATGAGTTTGTTAGTATGATTTATTGATACCAGTGAACAGCTTCATGAATTGTTTCAGAATAGCCTAGCCCTAGCCTACATGACATATGTCAGTATTTGCATAGTCCTACTTACAAATAAATGGATAAAATTATTGATATTACTTACTTACTACTGCTACATTTACTAATTTGCTACCCACTGCTGTGTAAGTAATTGTAGGCGTAGGGTAGGCCACTAGGGCTAAAAAATCTAAAAATCATGTCATAGATTAGATTTTTTAGCCCTAGTGGCCTACCCTACGCCTACAATTACTTACACAGCAGTGGGTAGTAAATTAGTAAATGTAGCAGTAGTAAGTAAGTAATATCAATAATTTTATCCATTTATTTGTAAGTAGGACTATGCAAATACAATGTCATTAATGTATACTTAACTTTAGTTTAGGCACTATCTCTATTCATCATGTAGTTTACTATTAATTACACTTGACTTACTCCACTGAGACTGCTGTTGAGTACTACTAGGCCTAGGAGTAGGAGGGTACTTGAAGTTTACTACGGTAAATAGTGAAGGAAAATGCCACTATTTTATCCTTGGTTGACACCTTGGCCTTGGCTGAAAAGTAGTGCAAAACATGAGTTTTTAAAAAGGAAGGCGAGGGAGGAAAAATATTTTAATTTTTCAAAAATGAAAGGAAATGAATAAATTTAATAGCATTTTTTAGAAGATCTATCCCTATGCCTAATCCGAACCCTAAATCACTAAATCTATGCCTAACCCGAAACCTAAAATCACTAAATCTATCCCTATGCCTAACCCGAACCCTAAATCACTAAATCTATCCCTATGCCGAACCCTAAAATCACAAAATCTATCCCTATGCCTAACCCGAACTCTAAAATCACTAAATCTATCCCTATGCCTAACCCCAACCCTAAATCGATCCCTATGCCTAACCCGAACCCTAAATCGATCCCTATGCCTAACCCGAACCCAAAATGATCCCTATGCCTAACCCGAACCCTAAATTGATCCCTAAAACTAACCTAAAGCCACAAGTAAAACACATGGAATTAACACACTGTGGTAAGAAAACTCAAAAAATGAAAAAAAATCAATAAATATTGGCGAAAAATAGTAATAACATAAATAAATAATGAAAACCCAACTTACAGTTTCATGAAATACACTTTTACACACTTTATTTCAGATTCCACAAATAATATCCACATAATGAATGGAGCACAAGAACCGGCAAGCCCGGCCAAAATGTAGGCAATATGGCGTCACAAATAAAATATGCAAATTTGTCAACCAATCATAATTTAGAATTATAATTAATCAACCAATTAAAATTTTAATACAAAACAGGTCATCAGCGTACTAATACTAAGACATAACAAAATAATTCTCTAAAAATAAACAAAGGGAAGTGACTACCAAAAATATGTTGTGGCATTTTCAATGATGATCAGCTGTTTACTACTTTATTGTTGAGTATTAACTAAAATTAACTAGAGTAGACCTGTTATTGATATTGTATGATATTATTATGAAAGTGATCAATCTCTGGGCACTTTTACTTTATTATCTAGGACCCTCATGAGTCATTCTATTCAAATCTATTCTAATAATTCTATGGTCTGCATAGTTGGATAATCTAAAAGTTGTAAATATTATTGAATAGGTAGTTGTATCAATACCATATTTAATGTTAATGTAACTAAAATTTAGTCAACTTAGACTAAGCCTTAATTGTAGCTAAAATTTTATGGTGTCATAATGAATTTCACGTGACAAGACTCTAGTACTAAGCTTGTATTTCACAAAAATTGATGACAAATAAATGTTTATTTATTTCAATGTCTAAATATGAGACTGGCTGAAATCTCTAAAATTGCACCTCCAACACACACTTCTGTTTACTAATAATTGTATTTGATAATAATGTTGCAGGAAAAAACTGAAACGCGGAGTGGTCAGGCCATTTGCCCATGCTAGGTACTCTCATGTAATGGTCACAACCCTTTGCCTTCCTTAAGTTATGGTTAACTTACCCATGGACATGTATAGTATAGCTTAGCTAGTCGAAATAATTTAATAATTCAAAGTCAAGCAAAAAAAGATTGATTTATTAGGTAGGCCTTTACTTTTCAGTTTGTTTGAATTATTTTATTATGGTCTATTATTTGTTTAGTAAGGAACTAGGGTTTAGTATATACTTATACACCTATAATATTTGATTTAGTAAATGGATATAATTTGGTTTTCCAGGGCTCAATTTGCTTTTTTAATACGCAATAATTTCCTATATCTTTGTCTCTATTACTGTGGTTTTGCAGTAACACCTGTGGCTGAGACTATGCAAGGAGTGTGGGAAAGCGCAACCTTTTGGCATGTCTTGCCCTTTATCTGAGGAATAAAATAAAGTTTTTATGTTCCTCTCAAATGATGTTTAGGCTAGGGCGTAAGGGAGCATCAATCTCTGTCCAAGGCAAATTATGCTTTGGGTCCATTGCACTCTAATTATCATGGCCTTAAATTTAAGATTTTGGCTTAGCCCCAAACTGCCCGTACAGAAATGCAGTCAGGGTGTTAAACATAACAATTTATGTCATTGTACCTAAGCCTAAAGCTGAATACCAATTTACATTTTCACATATTTACAATTTACGTCAGTGTTTGTCAAGTCAATGGGCAATTTGTGTTGCATAACATGATCTTATTTAAATTAGTTAGTGGCTCCTATGAATTTGAATATCTATACTGGTATTTATATTTTCAGTTCATATGCAATGCATACAGTCGTCGAGCATTTTTATAATCTTTTTATTTACAATTTATAATATTATGGGGTTTAGGTAGATAGTAAAGTTAATTTTTTTCCTTAAATTAACTGGTATAAATATTTCTTTTAACAGAATTCAACATGGAGACACCCTTACAGTCAAAAAATCCAAACAAAAGACGCAAGCTCATAAAAATCTTAAAGAAAAAAAATGTTGCTTTGCAGATGCAAACATCTGTATCTCAAGTATACCACAAAAAATTGAAAACTGCAATCAATGTTAGCTGTGAGTATAAAATGTACCAGTATATGCATAAATCACTTTAGAAATTTAGGCCTTCATGACTAGTGTTTATAAAAACATTGATTTATGTTAGAAAATTAAGCTAAGTTGAAGTCAGTATCCTAGATCTAATGAAAATTGAAGGGGTCACTGGATGTTGATGCATCATGCTGATACTTAAATGGCAAGCTTAAACTTAAACTCATTTTTTTTTTACATTTAATTTCTAATCAACATTTTTTTTGTACCGGGTACTATGATCTAGATGTTTTATGATGTTGCATTAAGTATTGGCTATTTATTAAATAATTAATTTCTGAACCTTCTTTTTTTTACCTTTTTGTTTCCTTAAAGTAAACTCCACTCGAAATTTCCGCACACTTCAAGCGAATAACAGAAGTCTTGCTTCAAGCTTGGAAAAGCAGAGACAGAATAACCGTTTATTAAATGATGCTTATCAAAATTTATTAAAAGCGAACCATGTACTGAGAACAAAGCTGCTAGAAATGGAAAGATTTGGTTATCTTTCAACCTCTAGTTTGGAAAAAGAAGTGGAGAGAAGAGTTGAGGTTTGTTTATTTTTGTATAATATAACATTGAAAATGAAATCTGAATGAAAGTTTGTTATTTTATTTTTTTTTAGAAATTGATCATAAGTTTCCTTATAAATTTATAAGAATGATATATTCTGGATTTGCATAGATCTGTAATTGTTTGTATTTATAGATTTAAGAATCACTCCCTTTTTATTTTTGCAGCTTAAAATGCAGAATATCAAGGAAAAATTAAATGGGTTAAGCACTTGTTCCCAAGCATTTGTGGATATTGTTCTAGATTTAACCAAGATTTGTAGCTCTAAGAACACTATGGACACTTCCTTGTTAAATTCCAGCCTAACCTCTCTACCAGTGCTTCCAGCACCAAGGTTAGTATTTACGTTTATTATTCTTGACATGTTTTTAAAAAAACTTATGTTGCTGAATTGCTGGGTATGTATGTGTAATGCACCTCTTAACTCAGGTTGTTGGCTATACATTTCTGGATAGTTTTTTTTTCCCATAACTAACCGGAGATAAGATAATTTTTTTTTGTTGGTAACACTTTAAAATCTTTTTATTCCAGAGTTTTAAATAATCATCCACGTTAATTGCCTTAATTTTACTCCATTTTGTCTACACATATTTTGTGAAATGGCTAAATAGTTTGAGCCTTATTAAATCATACTTAAAGGAATGGGGCCTTGTCAGCTTTCCTTTTCCAGACCTGCCAACCCTTCCGATTTTGTCGGAATTATACGCATTTTTACCCCTCATTTCGACCTTCCAACAAACCCTTTAAAATTCCGATTCTCCGAACATTATAATTTTTCACCCGTCATAAAAACCCGAAAGCGGCAAAAAAAATAATTTTTTTTTTAATCAGTTTGACAGGAAATGTTGCATTTGCTTTTACGAAGTGCACGTCGGCCTGAAGAATAAGTGAATAAGTTTCCGAGATATTTGTCCGTCAACTTTGCTACGTGCCCGCTAACAGTCGATCAGAGTTTACAGTATATCATTTCAAAAAATTAAAGATAGTCTGGACAATTACATGAAAAATAAATAAATGTTCAATTCTACAAAAGAAATACTAGAACCATTGCTGGTACTGGTATATATAATGAACAAATGGTTAAGAAGTGACAATCTTTATATATAATTCGCCAGAAACTAGGGCACAACAAGACCAAGACAACTACGCAAGCTATATATAGATACGCCAGCAGAGCAAGCAAGATGAAGGCAAACCCTCCCTTCCCTTGCCACCCTCGCTTGCCAGCCAGCTCGCGGCGTATGCTAAGCCACGGGTCGGCATGAAATAAAAAGTGTGCAGTGACGTATCATGAGGGGGGGGGGCACGGGTCGGCTATATTTATATTTGCGAACATGGCCACCGCCTCGCCCATCGTTGTTCTCAAGACATTGGCACTGTGATGGAGTTACCGCCCCCTGCACCACCCTCCCTTGCCAGCCAGCTCGCAGTGTATGCTAAGCCGTGGTTCGGCGTGAAATAAAAAGTGTTTAGTGACGTATCATGAAAGGGGGGAGGGGTGTAGCAACATTGGCATTCTTAAATGTGTGCAACTTGAGTTCACGTTTTTGTCAAGTAACTTGAGTAGATGGGAATTTCATGCATTGCTGTCACCAATGTTTGGCGGGCTGTATCCACCCTCGCTTGCCAGCCAGGCATGCACCCCAACAAGCTCGCGGTGTAGTGTTAAATAAAGTGTGATATGCCCGCCCGATCAATATCTCCCGCACTAATTGTCCGGTCGCCTGACGTGTAGACACTGCCTTGCTTTTATCGAAGCAAACCGCTATTTCCAAACCATTCTTCAATAAACAATTGATCCGATCGTGATTCATCCTTTTAATAGATTTACATTGCTAAAAATTAATTCAGACTTTTTTTTTTGTTAAAGCTTTTCTTAATTAAATGGATAAATCTATTTAAAGTGGTGGGTACAATGTATTAATAAACATATTTTAACCCCCCAAAAACATACAACTAAAAGTAAAAGCAGTGACATGAGTGACACAGTGAATCTACTTCATCCATGTCTAATTTCTTTGCTAAGGAATCCTACTGAAGTTATCAGATATGAAGTTTTATTTACCACTTTGCTTATTGAAGGAAATATTTCTCTAGCCAACTTAGATCGTTTTAATTTCATGGTCAAAGAAATGTTACCAGACTTTCCATTTGCTAGAAGATTGTGAAGAAAAATTACCATGAAACCAAGGGCAAGCATGAAAGTTGATACTCTTTCTAACTTGCTTGTACTTGCAACTAAAATCAATTGCAAAGCTAACCTTCAGTTGTCGAAAGAGCCGTTTGACAAGTGCAAAAAGGCCACTAGGGATATGGTGGAAAATTGAACTCTTGGCAGCTTGTGTACATATTTAATAAAATTGATATTCTGTTCTGTACACTGGTATTGTATATATCTGTATGTAAACATTTCCAGTAATGTTTTTCTTATGTTCTGTGGTGTTCTGTGAACTCTTCAAAGACAATGGAGGTAACTTTATATTTCTTTATTTACAAAAAAAGGCTTGTGCATTAGTATGTAGATCTTAAACCAAAACCCCCCTTCCCCCCAAGGGGGCAGTGCCCGCCTACAGATTTTTTTTTTTCTTAGCAGGTTGGCAGGTCTGCTTTTCATGTAATGTTACTTATTTTTAGCAGCATTTGCTGTGATTAAAAATAAAAGACAGGAGCAATTTTCTGTTGATTTTAAATTTCCATAGACATGCCTTAAAATTAAAACTGTATAAAAATAGAAATGAAATAACCTTTCATTACAGCTTATCATTAGATGACACAGATATTGATTCCTGTGAGGATACATTTAAAGAACTTGCAGTATATCCTGATGGTTTCAAAAAGAAAAGTTCTTTGCATGAGATGTCCTTAATTATGGAGCAGTCTTTACTCCAACCTTCTGATAAATCTGTCCCGGAGAGCAGCCTACATTCATGTAATTTTTTGTTGTTAATGATGAGTTTGGAAGAGTAACTTAAATAAATTTGATAAAATATAGCTGATATTCATAATTTATTAATCACCCATAAATTAAACTTCTATTTTAGAGATTTTATTAAATACAATGTATGTAGGGACAATATAGTACCCACCAGCTGTCATAACTGCTGATAATTGTCTGTTGTTATTGCTTCTGTGGCGTTAAAACCAATGTATTTGGCAATTACAAAAATTAATATTACACTTGCAAATCATCAGTTTTACATTTGTTTATTAGGAGTGGGAGTGTGGTGGTGACGCTCATAAACTAAGCTTAATTTCTCTATAAAGAGAAGAAAAAAAATTTTCATGTGTTCATATTGTTGTTTCTATTTTGAATCAAGCTGTCATGTACAGAGTTTTTTGTCATCACAATCATATTGAGCCCTGATATTGGCCCTTGCAACAAAAGCCTAATTTATTCTATTTCTTAAATGACATTGATTTTGAAGGTAATTTTGTTGACATTATTAATAGAGAAAGTAACAACAGTGAAGCTCGCATTTCAAGTTCTAGTATGGGAATAAATAGGAGTATTCTAGCACCAATTCACAGGGGCATAGCCAGGGCTAGTGCTATCTGGGGCGGGCAGAGAATATTGCCACCCCCTTCCACGAAAAATACTCTGCAATTTACAGAAAATACCATCCCTCCATATAAATGAAAAAGTGCTGCCCACGCGAACTGCCCCCCCCCCCCCCCCGCCCCCCACCCCTCAACCACTTGCTACACCACTGCCATTTCAAGTACTGATGAAATTAATAGGAATTATATAAAGGATTTTTTTAATGTTTAAAAACTCCAATAGCTTCATATCCCAAAATTGGAAAAATATTGTTTTCTGGGTGTCAAACACATTTACATGGTAAATATGACTTAACAGTCAAATGTATTAAAATTTCACATAGAATTAAAAACACAAACATCAATCATTCAATGCTCTGCATATACTTTTGTTGAATCATAATTTATTAATTTTTTAATTTTTCAGTGACAGAAAATTCATCAACTTGTCCAAGAAAACCTTATTCCAAACTTCCCCAGCGCATCCCTAAACAAGTCAATAACAACATGGGGAACATGAACGATGATGCAGTTGTTTCAAATGTTAAGTCTCTTGCTGCTGACATAAGTTCACGTAGAGCCACATTCACTGTAGCCCCTGTTTCTCCAGAAGAAACACTTCTTGAAACACTAGCACCACCATTTTTATTATCTGATGATTCTGTTACTGAATCCATCCAAAATGAACTTCAGGGGTTTGAAAATCTACATGCCGTGTCATCAAAGTCTCCTCCTCAAACTGAACAAGATGTCCAATTAGATCCTCAAAATGAAAAATTTACTACCCCAAGCCAACTTGAAAAAACTTTATCAACCAAACAGTCTGATAAGCCACAAAATGTGAAAGTGAAGAAACCCAAATCTAAATCTGTAAAAGATCTTGTTAAAAAGAAAGAAAAGAACATGAAAGTAACAGCTGGATTTATCAAGAAAGACGCACCACTCATTGCCAATGAATTTGCCTTAAATATTGCTTACTTGGAACTTACGAAAAAAATGGAAACTCTCAAGCACAATCCACAAAATAATTGTCCTAGAGGTCCTCAAACTAATGGTCTTCAGACTGAGGACAAAACTATTCTTATGGTTGAAGATATGGAATTAACCATGCCTTTAGGAAAAGATTTCCCAAACTCAACATTTTCAGAGAGCACTAATATGATAAGCATTCCAGCTAATAATGAGGGTTCAAGACAAGAAAATGAGGTCCTAAGTGAAGCGGTTGATGGGGCACTGAAGTTTCCAGATGCTGTAACATTGAGAATATCTAAACCAGGCCAGTTTGTTTTTGCTGCCTCAAGAAAAGAGTCAGATGGTACTCGCAAAGCCGTTCCAGTTGTGACGAAATCAAGGTCCAGATCAAAGAAACTCACAGCAGAAATAATGGAAAAAATGCAACAAGATGAGCCGCAGTCTATCTTTGATTTTCATGAGAAAACACCTACATCTTTAAATTATTCAAAGAAGATATTAATTAATAACACAGCAACAGATGAGTCAACACCGCCACCTCCACTTCCGCAAAGTCAACGCAGTGAAAAAGTCCTAAACTCTGTAGGGCATGAAGAAATCGACATAGAACCCAACAAAAGTGTCAGCTCAAATCAGCCACCGTCTTTACTAGGTAATGGGGCTGAATATCAACTTCCTCTTAAGGACAGTCCAGACAAACCCTCATCATTTAATAGATCAACTAGATCTAGATCCCGAGGCAGAAAATTAAACCCCAAAAGTGATGATGAGATTGAAGCATATTCAGATCACCAGCTACCTTCAGTATTAGATAGATGGGCTGATCATGAACTTCCTCTCTTGGGAAACCCAGCTCATGATGCTGCATCATTCAGGAGCCGAGCAAGATCTAAGTCACGAAGTAGAAAATTAAAAACTGATATAGATGAAGATACAGATGTCAGTTCCAACCACCAACCACAATCAGTAGGTGATGAGGGTTTGTATGCACAACAACTTGATAGCCCATCTCATAGTACTAGATCATCAAGAAAACGAACTAGATCTAAATCTTGTGGCAGAAAATTTAAAAATAAAAGTGATGATAACACCACTGTTAATTCAGACCACCAGCTATCATCGCTACATGGGAATGGACATATAGAGGATCAACCTCTGTATAACAGAAGAAAGAGATCTGTTTCACCAAGCAGAACATTAAAACCCAATTCTGATAAAGAGGCAGATAACCAAAAACCACCATCAGTACTTGGAGATGGGGCTGAATATGAACTTCCTCTCAAAGGCAGTCCATGTAATAGCAATACAACATTCAAGACAAGATCAAGATCTAAGTCACGTAGTAGAAAATTAAAACAGGATTCTGGTGAAGAGGCAGAGTCCAAACAAAAATCACAGTCATCACTTGGAAATGGAGCTGAATATGAACTTCCTCTCAAAGGCAGTCCGTTTAAAAACAATACAACATTCAAGACAAGAACAAGATCTAAGTCGCATAGTACAAAATTAAATCGGGATTCTGATGAAGAGGCAGAGGTAGATTCCAAACAAAAATCACAATCATTACTTGGAAATGGAGCTGAATATGAAATTCCTCTCAAAGGCAGTCCATGTAACACCAATACAACTGTTAAGACAAGAACAAGATCTAAGTCTTATAGTAGAAAATTAAATCGGGATTCTGATGAAGAGGCAGAGGTAGATTCCAAACAGAAACTACTGGGAAATACAAATGAATATGAACTTCCTCTCAAAGCCAGTCCATCTAGAAGTGCATCCACATTTAAAAGTTATGGGTCTAGGTCCCTTAGCAGAAAGTTAAAAGCCAACAGTGATGTTGAAATAGAGGTTAGTTCAGACCAGCAATCACTTTCAGCCCTTAGTAAAGGAGCTGTGAATGAGCTGCCTCTAGAACAAAATCCAACAGAAAATGTTATGAACGTAAGAGGCAGATCTCAATGCCGAAGTCAGAGCTCTTCAAATGCTGAAACTCTTGAATCAGATGATAATATCAGACCATTCACTCCTTGTTTGAAAGGATTGTCTGCTCAGATAAACTTATCTGAATCAAGTGTATGTCAGGATGGTGGCATAGAAAATGGACCAAATTGCAGATATACTAAAGAAATTCTTAGTATTGATAATGAAACGTTTGATTCTCTTGAAGATGCAAGCCCTAGCATAAACAAAAATTTGAGCCCAGAGCAACAAATTAAATCTTCTATAAGCAAGACAAAAAAGGTTGCAGATTTTATGAAAAACGTTAGCACCAAAAAAACAGATCATAAGTTGATACCAGTGAAAAATATACACAATTGGCCTGATGAAGTTGAGGCATTGGTAGCACATCAACTAGCTCCTAAGGCAAATTCAGCCAAAAGTTTTGAAATTGTACATGTTGAAACAGAAATGGCTTTTTCTGAACCTAAACAGGAAGAACAAAGTAAATTAAAAGTTGAAGACCTAATTCTGCCCAACATTACCAGAACTAAAGGTAATAGAAAGATTTCACCAAACCCTAAAAATAGTAAATGCTTGGATAAGCAAAGTGTAAGAACTAATAAAGTGGATAACTTTTCAAGTGAAAATTCGGAGCCCAACAGAATTGTGAATGTTAAGAATGCTTTAAAAGTTAATCAATCCCAAGAGTTACAAAATGTGTTAGCATCACTAACTAAAGGGGAGAAAATACACAAATCACCCACAACAGGTGAAACTATTAGAATGACAGCAACAAATCATGATGAAAAGAAAGAACTCTTTGTCCAGATAAATCAAAAAGACATCTATACCTCAAAAAGTTATATGGAAACTGCAACAGTGAATGATAAAAAATTGCTAAAGGCTCATAACCATGTTTACATGAGGAAGAAAAAGGCCAAAGACTCAAAGCATCAGAAAAGCCTTCAAAACATATGTGACGATGATGTGCAGCATCATACAAAGACAGAGGTGAGTTGTGACATAATTTGAAGATTATATTCAATTTTAAACAAGTGACTTATGACATCAGATGGGTTGCAAGATAATTTTTATAATAGTGGCAAAATTTTATGTGCCTTTTTTTTTGTAACATAGCTGTCATTAAATGAAATACTGGTATAAGTACTATAAGTATAATAATTTTGTCTCTGTTTGGAAAATAAGCCATTCATTAATATTTTATAGTTTGGATTATAGAAATGTAAAATAGTAACACATATACAAATTATTATACTTTAATCTGTTTAACTTTTTATAGAATCCTTATCTTTCCCATGATGAGTTTGGAAGGAAACCTACTCAACTGATAAAAAACCCGACTTTTGCTTATGATGAAAGTGATAGTGACACAAAGAGATCACTCTCACAAGAAATGGATAACATGAGGAAATCTACTGAAGAGGCATTGTCATCAAAAGCTAATTCAACTAAGATAATCCTCAAGAAACAGGAAAAAACAAAATTAGCATCAAACAAACAGTCAGAAAATGAGCCAAACTCAGAACTGTCACCCCCTAAAAGACTGCACCTAGAGCAAGAGATAATCAGGTAAAATGTTTTTGGTGTTTAAAATTGTACAATTAATAGATCTTGTGTACATACAAAGTATTTGTAATATCTAAGGCAATGAAGGCTTAACGATTTCTTAGACTTGGGCTGTTTTGATTGAAGTTGAAGAAATTTTGTTATCTGAAAGGATGCATGTTTGATGGCATTGGTATATGCTTGAATTGAATAATATTTAAGTATTTATTAAGCTTTTCAAATCTGATGGTAAATTCTATTTATAATTTTCAGAAACCATCAATATTTAGATTCCTAGCCAAACAAGGAATTCACAAAACTCTTTATGAACAGAACATGTTTTTATTTTGGCCTTTATCTAAAATTGTTAAAAGTACCAGAATGACCAATTTTGATTGTAATGAGTTGTGCCCATGAATGCTTTGAAGTGACATTTGTGTGACCAGAAAAATGTATAACATGATTTTTAAAAAATAGACAATACTTCCAATATCTAACAAAGAAACTAGACTTAGCAAAGCACATGAGGCTGAATTGTCTATTGTGACAGACCAAAAGATTTTGGGGAAACTTTTTTAAAAGACCATTTCCTCTCTGTTAAGACTGTATCAATCTAACATTAATATTTATCAGCAGTTCTAATGAGCCTGATACTAAAAGGAGAAGAGCAGCCACAAAAGTCAACTATGCAGAGCTAAAATTAAATAAGTAAGTACGTATTTTAGTAGTTTACGTAGGGATTATTTGTTTTTATGTGACTTTTCCAATTTTCCAAGGAACCACAACTTGAAATTTTCTGTCGAATTTCTGTTTTGTAGATTTACAAGTTTAACCCAAGAACTGTGGTCGGCCGATTTCCTCTTTCTAAACTGTCGGCCGATAAAAATTGCTTTGAAAGAATGAGTTCCAATCCAATATTTTACACCAAATAAAACTACTTCCTTTTAATAATTTTCATTTTTCACTCTTCTGTGTCCTTTTTTTTAAACTCTGGGGTTATTTTTTTACAACGATTTTTATCAAGCAAATTCGTGTACGTAGATTTTTGCAAAATGGATAGGCCATAGCTGGACCATCTGGCTTACAAAATAAATCAGTTGGGAATCTTTTTGATTTAAGTGATTCGGAAGATAATTTTCCGATTACACACGTAGACAATGATAATTCCAATTATTTTTCTAGTGGGTCAGAAAGCGAAAGTTCGGACGATTTAGACCTAGGTCTAGAACGAGTCATGTTTGCAGCAACAACATGACTTGTTCAAAACTATGTTGCAGATGATTTTTATAATAACAAAAAATAATTGGATGTTGTTCTATATTTGTTTTCTTATATTTCATTTTATGGATTTACATATTTATATAGCAGCTATTTAAATTTTATCTGTTTCATGCTATTTAGTAATGTTTATATTGTTTATGTCGTGCTTTGTTTCCTTGAACGTAATTATAGGTATCAGAAGAATTTTTTTTTTTAATCTATTAATAACTAAAACATATACAAATAATACATTTTTTGAAAGATATATAAAACAGTTATCATATTATTAAACATAATAATATGCCATTAAAAAATTGTAGTTTGAAATACAGGTACTTGAAAATAAAAATTTTCATTATTTTCTTTATTCTTGTATTCTTTATCACTCTAAGGTCAAGGTCACGGTCAGCAAGTAATAAAAATAATCTTAAAAATAGCCAGTCTGATCCCCCCACTTTGTCTACTTTCAATAAATATATACTTTATGGGGTCTAGCTATAGTATTTGCATGTGAAAAATCGCCTTTTTCAAAGGCACTCAAAAAGCTCTAAATTCCCTGAAAAGTACAGAAACATAACATACACAGTTCGTGGGTTAAAAACTAAAATGTTTTTTGTCATAAAAGCTTATTTATATTTATAAATTAAATTGTTAATTATTAAAATAAGTACTTGAAATAAATTCTTAAATTAAATTTGTGTGCCTGGAATGTTTTAAAAAAATTTGTTTATTTTTTATTGAGATTCCGTGTGGTAATTCTGATCATGTCATTGAAAATTTTATCAACTTTTAATCTGTTTTCATTGCTATGTAAATAAAATTGAGTTGTGCTTTAATTTCTCAGGAAACTTAGGCGTGGAGATCCATTTACTTCCCACTATTGTACAACAGATAAATTAGACATCTACAAACATAAAGGTATGTTTTTATAAAATCTATAAAATGTTGGGCAGGCGTGGGATAAAGAAATAGGATTGAGAACTATGTCGCTTCTCTTTTAAAAATATTTAGGATAAAATATAGCTTCCAAAATCTTATGGAACTATTTAAATGAGTATATTTCTTTAGTTGCTGATCATGGTATTAGAAGCCACACAATTATGTTAAGATTATAATAATGTTGATTCAATGTTTTAAATATAGACACAGAAAATTATTATTATTCCTACACTTGCAAACTTGTTTTTTAACTGACATTATTACTTATTACTAAGGACTGAGAAATCACATAAAATTTGATTATGACAATATTGATTATAGCTATAAAATATTTTATCTTGTCTTTAAAAAAAATACACAAAGTAGTATTCTGAGATAACTTAAACTTAAATGGAATTAAATTTATTTATCAAATTATCCAAAAGACATTTTTAATGATACCGGTAGATATTTTTAATTGTTAAGCATAGTAAACAAAAAGGGTTGTACTTTATTTTTTAAAAAACCCTTTATTTTTTTTTCTTCTTGTTAAAATATTCTTTTAATCATCAGGTAATAAGAAACATTTACCTGACAGAAATGTTCTAGGTTCCCTACACAACCAGTCAATCAAGGAGGATGAGTAAACAGTCTAATCTAATGGATTTTGAAACATTGATTTATTACATGTTGTTGAAACAATTAAATTGTTTGTGTTGTTGTGGGAACTAAAACATTACTTGAGTCAGTCATTAACTGAGCTAGAGGGTCATCCGATCATCCATATATGTCTTGCACGCTGAAGTAGTGAGGGGAGGAGCTGCTGGGATTTGAAAATAAGTAAACTGCAGTGAATTAAGTTTGCTGCTACGGAAGAAACTCATTAAGTTATTTTTTTTTTAAATATTTTTTTAAATATTTAAAACAGAAACACCAAGCAGAAATCCCTTCTTGCTTAAAAATGCTCTGGGAAAAAAATTACTTTTAAAAATATGACCAATGCGTTGGCCAGAATTCTTGCATGCATAATAATTTTTAATATAGCTATTTTTTAGACCTCTCACTAAATTCAAAACTTCTCTGACAAACTCTTTCATCCAGGGCATGCATAATTTTACGGAAGATCGATTGTGTTATATATTGTGTATTAAAGTTACATATTTATCAATGTTTTCACAATATTATTGTGTATATTAATCTTTGGTTTGAATAAATTTTTGTTTTGTTGTAAATTATTATCAAACCATTCATATTTTTAAGATCAATTTTTACAAGTCCAATTTGCCTTTGGAATTTGACATATTTTACTTTTATGTAGTGTGGTGAATCCAGAAAGAACATTTTTTTAGTTTCATCTAAGCCTTCACGTCCTTTAATGCCATCAGACATCTTGTATAAAAAAATCACTTAATTACTATTTTTTTCCCTCAACTCACTCTAAGTCCATTGAGGAATGCAAACTTCTTTGCACTTAATTCTGCAAATACCAATTGTAACCATTTATATGATTAATTAAATAAATCGATACATTTAAAACAAAGAATTTTTAAGTACCTTATGCAAACAATCTCATGCCATTATCAATATTAAAAAAAATATTTCAAATTGATGTATTCGAAACCACTATAGAAAGGTGGACTTCTTAACCCATTAACCACAGAGCTATTTACTTTCTAAGTTTAATTAAGAAGTATTTGTATTTAAAAAATGATTGAACTGATTTTGCTTGCTGCTCAGTTTGATGAGCTTGCTGGAATGATCTGTAACGCCAGGCACTTGTTTTCCACCTCTTTGATTCTCATGTGGTTGACTTTTGTGGGTTTTTTTTTTGTTGGTTTTTTTAAATTAAGAGTACACAAGGTTGTTGTTTTCAGTGTTAGTTCCAGACACTTGACATGAGTGATGTTATATGATGATGATGATTTTGCATTGAAAGATTGCTGCTCTCTTCTTTTAAAAAGCCAGAAATCAATGGTTCTGTAAGTTCATTCTTTGAATAAAGAAATGCCATTTTTATTAAAATTTAAATTCCTTATTTTGTGAATTAATAACTCAATGAAACTTTTAAAAAAAAAAAAAGATTTTCACTCTGATCTATGTTCCAGATGCACCTTGGGAGAATATAGCACGCAAACACACAAAAACGTGGGTGGGGGGGGGTCTAAGAAGGTAAATTGTCATACACATTGCACTCCGTATTCCCCAACTGGCCCTCCCCCTACTCATGTTTTACATTAATAGTACGGTATTGAGTGGGGAAGAAAGGCTGTAGAGCGTCATGAACTCCGGTAAAAATAAAATTCGGAGGCGACTATTATATTAATAAATAGCCGCGGGTAAGGTGTAGGACTATTGATTGAAGACCGGCAGGTAAGTTGTTAATGTAGATACCGGTAATGAGAAGTTAACTCTTTTTTTAGTAACACATGGAACCACCAGGTATTTTCTCAAAATACCGGCCGGTGTAAAAAAAACACACAAAAACTGCACTCGGGTAGGCCCTGTTCTTACACCACCCTATGTTACGGCAGGCATCAACATTTAGGCAATATTTCTATCGGACCATCCATATAAACTGTACTATACTATACGCACTTTAAATTTTGAGTACTAATATGAGGGGGGGGGGCAAAAATACGTACATTAATTCTAAATTCTGCATTAATTATTCTAACAGTACTGAGTAGCAAATTTATAACTCCAATGCTGTATAAATACCACGCAATGTTTTGTAGGAAATCATATCGCTTCTCAGCTTTTGGCTAAGATCAGAGTCTATTATCTTTTCCCGTCATAGTGTTGCAGTAGTGTTTTCAAAAATGATTCCCTAGGGGGCGTCCATTAATTACATGAACAAAATGGGGGGGGGGATGTTTGACAGTTATTGACCGGGGGGGGGGTAGATTAGTTGACGTCAACAATCATGTTTTTTTTTATTAGAACTTTAATTTTAAAAATTGACTTGTATTTTCATTATTTTTCTAGGGGGCGTCCATTAATTACATGAACAAAATGGGGGGGGGGGATGTTTGACAGTTATTGACCGGGGGGGGGGTAGATTAGTTGACGTCAACAATCATGTTTTTTTCTATTAGAACTTTAATCTTAAAAATTGACTTGTACTTACATTATTTTAAACAATTTAATGAGTGTAAATAGTCATATATGTTTAGGCTTTTAACAATATGAGAGTTTAATGTTTGTCTGTCTATGCAATGCAGATGGTTGGTCAGAATGTTAGCACACTTTGTTAGTGCAAGAGTAATCAAAAGTTGGCATCTCTTCACCTGGCATTTTTCTCTTAATCCGCTCCTTAGAATGAATAACGCATCATTGTACACGGTGTTCAATTTAAAAACACACACACACACACTCATCGGTGTTCAATAACAACTATACCGACTCAAAGACAGAGAGAGCTTATGGCATTTATTGCTCACACCGACAATACTTCTATTTTAAGCGCTGAATGGTTAGATAAGGATGATATTGACTTGTCTGGTGTAGCAGTTCCACAAGATGGAAATGATAAATCAACTACTAGGCCTATACACTATGCGCATCAGGGCGTGATTTTAGTTTTTTTTCAGGGAAAAGGGGGCGGGGGGGGGTCAAACCAAAACTTGGTCGTCTTGTTTAGTTGTTTATTACTTGAGGCACCACATTACATAGCAATTTAAATAAAAAAGCAAAAATCGGGGGGGGGAATGCCCCCTGCCCTACCCAAATGATGTCCCTGATGCCCAGTGTTACGATACTCCATGGGAATATGATAGCAGCTAGAAACTATACTAATACTATAATTGTCAGCTATACTGACAATAATCATACTTATACTTCCTTCCACAAACAGTGATATTTAGTCCTTAACAACCTATCAATTGATTCTACATTATAAAATCCAAGTGTAAAAACGTTTTAACTTGTTGATGAACAAGCTAAACATGTAATAAAATCATTTCCCTACAATTGTATGTGTCATTTAAATAGATCAGCACAAAGTAAAATGTATTTATTATATTTATTGTATTTATATATAAATTTATTTATTTTATAATTCATTTTTTGGGGATGGGGTTTATAAAATGTTGACATAATTAAATGGGAGGGGGGCGGGGGTCATCGAAAGTTTGAAAGTTGTTGAAAAAGGGGGGGGGGTGTAAGAAATGCTTAAAAATTGTTGACATAATTAATGGACGACCCCCTAGATAATGCTCTAGTGATTCCAGCAGTAGTAACACTAACGGTAATAATATTTAATCCACCGTGACCACGTGCGCTTGGCTTATTTTGTTCGGTTACGCCAGCGGTTCATACAATTTTTCGTTCCCCGGCTCCCTTGCCAAATAGTTTTTTTTTAGGGCACCCTGTGATAAATTCTACTAAAAAGTTTTTTAAAAAACTTCGAAAATCGAAGTGGCTATTCGTACCCGGTACTAGAAGTGAGAGGTTGGGATAAAAAGCTATTTAAACTTTTAGGGTTTGTAAGACAAAATGAGGAGTCAAATGAAAGATAATTGAATGGACTATATGTTTGTAAACTTAATTCTTATGTTAATGTATGTTAATTCACTATTAAGGTCCTATCTTAAATATGATTTTTGCCTCCCCACCCCCTTTTTTTTTTGATGTTAGCGTCCGGGGCGAGTTGCCCTTTTGGAGAGCCCTGCCCTATGGCAACTTGAAGCTTATTCTGGGAACCATTGGGCTCGCCAAACAGTCAGTGGTGACACATTTAATTTACAATGGATGGTCCCAAGTATTAGGTACAATGCCCTTTCTCAGTATTGTCTTAATTTCTTTGTGTACGGAGCTCCTCTAAATCCCAAATTATCTTTTTATACCACTCTTTATAGTAGACTCATGACATCAAGGGGTAAACGTGTTATTAGTACCAGTATGAAAGTAAAATAGAGGTTGGTTGAATAAGTCTTTTTTTTTAAAAATCCGATCGCTTCTCGGCTTTTGGCTGAAATCAGAGTGTAGACCTAGTATCTTTTCCCGCCAGGTTACCAAACCTTTCTGGGTGGCTTGTGATATCTGGCTTTCCCCTGGCCATGGCCGGTAGGATCGATAGATCAGTTAGAGAGCCGCAAGGCCAAGAGCCCACAAGGGCATATTTTAAAAGAGACTGCCCCAGTAGGCCCTACATCTGGCGGAGCAATAAAAAATATAGTTTTTAAAATCCTATAGTAAAACTGAAAAGCAACACCAATTAACCTAAAGAAGAAAAATTTAGACTGTTTCAATTTTAGAAATGAGATGTCGTTCATTAAGGGGCCGTCCATAGAGTAAGTAAGAAGAAAGAGTAAACAAAACCCCCCCCCCCCCCCCCGGTTGCACGCGTAACTTTTAGACATTCATGTGCTTACGTACAAAGAGCTTTTGACCACCACCCCCCTCCAAAAAAATCAATTAAAAAATTAAATTACTATACAATTATGTAACAGAAAAATAATGTGCAACGTGTTTTCACAGCAGTTTGGCGAGTCCAGTAGTTCCCAGAATATGCGCCACATCTCCGAGGGGTGGGACGTTTCCCTTGGGCAGGGCGATGAGAAAGGGGCAACCCTTTATTTAATAAAAACGTAATCACTATCTTGTAGAAGTGTATTTGGTAGAATTTGATATAGTGCGCCTGGTAAAAAAAAACTCAATTTGGAAAGGGCGCCCAATATATATATATATATATATATATATATATATATATAAGAATCACTTGTGTAGCCGAACAAAATTTACTAAATACGCCACGCCCACGCACGTGAAACATGCAAAAGGATCATTCCGTGAATGATGATACACTATTTCGGAATATTTTGTCCAGTCCCCCCACCTCCTTTTTTGAACTGTCATATTTCAGGATAATTATTGCAGAATTATTATTTTTGTGTCAGTAACTGAACGTACTTTCTGCAGAGAATTTCCCCTGGACCCCATTTTTATTATGTATGTGAATGTGGGGACAGCAGATGATAATTTCTAAGGCCCAATTAACGCATCATTGGTGCTGCTCTGAATATTTGAAATGATAAGAATTTCTAAACTTTAAAATAAAAAAGTATTGTATTACAAGTATTTTGCATAAACTTTCTAGACATGTTTATGTTGGTACCCTGGTCTCTCTCCCCCCTTGATCCACTTTCTATTACGTCGTATTCACTTGCTACCATTGGCTTATCCAGGATTCGCCAGGGTGAGAAATGGCGATAAAACATAAAAAAAATATATACAAAATTTAAAAATCTTCCTATAAAACCGGAGACATGGATGAGACGGAGAGCCGTGACCACGAAGGGGGGCCCTAACATGACCCACTAGGTCGTGGCCTTAATCCCTAGTCTGGAACCAGGGCCAAACACAATTAAATTATTATTGTCAATTATATTTGGTTTAACATGTGATGGCTTATTTGATTTCGTGAAATGTTGGTAAACAAAGATACCCGACATGTAGATGTATTTCTTTTTTATTAAATCGAATCCACTTTTGCTCAGGTGCACATTTGAAAATTCATCTATTTTGGAGCTTTAATGAAGTTTCAAAGTTCATAAGATAACTTAACGTAACAAAACCTGAATTCAAAATGATATTTAAATTCAAAGGACTAGTTTTGTATCCAGCCCACTCCAAGTCCAAGTATGATGGCTAAATCGAAGGATAATTCACAGTATCGAAACTGTCAGACGAAAACTAAACTGTATGAACTACTATAAAAAAAAATAAAAAAAAATGAAGCAGAAACACCATGGACAATCCTTTCGCTATTACTATTAAATTTTACTGGACTATTTTTAAATAATCATATATTTTATGAGTGTATAGTGCTAAATGTTTGTTTTAATGTTATTATTATAAGAACGTGAAGAGTAATTGTCATTTTGAATCATTATTAAATATAATAATAGCCACACTACAGTCTCAGTTGTACTGAATATTGAATTCTCAAAATTGTCAACTTACTAACTACACTAAGTACTAAGTGTTAGTGTCATGTGACATGTGATTTTTTTGTGATTAGAAGACAGGCCTGATTTAAACTGATTAGGGGCTAAGCCTAATAAATAAATAGCTCATAACAACATTTATGTAGTGTGGTATTATCAGGATCATTCTCGTCATAGGCTTAGGCTTAGATAAAATGTCAGTGTGACTTATAAAAAAACAACTTATACTACTTATATTACATACTATAATAATATTATTATACTTTTGATGATGTAAATATATAAATGATATGATTCTATTTTGATAGAAAAATTTAAATTTAATAATTCAATGACTGTGTGACATCAAATATTAATATCAATGCAATATTGAAAATGTGTCCTTGTACTAGCTTTGTAGGCTGTAGTAGGGTAGTCCTCTTACTCTTGGTTAGATTCAGACTTACTTATTTGTATGTTAGTTCTTATTCAAAATTTAATAAGAACTAACATAAAAATAAGTAATAGAATGACAGTGGATTAATTTATTTCATATAATAAAAATAATAATAATTTATAGTGGTGTTTTTAAAATTTTAAATAAACCAGTTTGTTTGTCAAATGGTGATTATGTAATATTAGAAATGGGGGGTAAACTAAGAACAATATGCTATATGTGGGAACAAAAAATGTAAATATTGGACTGATGGTCTTGAACACAACTTTTGCCAAACTGATTTTATAAACAACCTTTTTTGGCTTAATCAATTTAACAATCTGAATACCATAACTTTTCTGGCTTCTTTTACTTTTGCAGCCAATGCAACAAAGTAAAACTAAAATGTTTGTTCTTGGTCTAATTATTAGTCCCATCATTAAAGTCTTAAATTCTTACTACTTTTTTCTTTCTGCTCAAAAGTGAACGCTTCAACCAGTCAGTTTCATGTGTCTCAAAATAGGAAAGATTGCCAAGATATGCTATTTTTAAATCTACATATCAGAATGAGACAAATTCGGAGGAGAGGAGGGTTCATTGAACTTTTACTGATGAACGCTATAAATGTTATTAATAAAACTGACATTACTATCATTGTGGATCAGTTGATTACTAAATTATCAATTCTTTGATTCAAAGAGATCATAGACACCTTTTATTTGTCACTACTAAAGTCAATTTTCTAATACTGGACTTTTAAACATGACAATTCCTCTTTGTTTTTTGTGTGGATTTAACTTTTTAATCTAAGATATTTCTTTAATTTCACTATTAATAATTTGACATAAATCACTGATTTTATTTTTAATCTTTTTTCCTTTATAAATTTGGTTACCTGTAGCCAGAACGTAGAATATTGTTTTAAATCATGATTGGAGCATTTATTATAAAATTAAAATTTGTCCTCTTCATTTAAATTCAGTTTGTAAAGAGCTGCCCTGGTCTTATAATCATTACAATAGAAGGGTAAGATAAAAGATATGCTCTAATTTTTGTCTCAATATTTTTTTTGGTGTAAATTAAAAAAAAAAATGTAGATATCATTTCTTTTGCTAGTTTGAAATTAAAGCAATTTATACTTAGTTTATTTATTGTGAAAACTATTAAATATGTTATAATGAAATCTATATTATGAAATTTATGTCACACTATTTTTCCCCAATAGATAGAAACTTGTATGACAAATTTAGACACTTATCAAACACTGTCACAACACAAATTCTTGGAACGCGCACCAAGACACATGACGCCATTTGTGGATGCGTCCTTATGAAGAAATCTACAAAGGCTAAATCTTCAATTAACCAATGACCACTTAACATACGCCTTTACCATTTTGTGTTATGTAACAATGCTATTTATTTATATAGAACTAGCCTGTTTACTGAGAACTTGCAAATCATTCCATGGTGACCTATTTATTTTCTTTTAAAAAATTTGAATTTGTAATGGTAGATACATAAAGAATGTTTACTTATTTGCTTTTTAGGGCATTGGTCTTCAAAATAAAATATTTGAATTAAAATATTTCTCAAACGTATACAAACACAATTAAAATATTTCTCTCCAACAATCTGTCTAGGGGAAGAATACATCTGAAGGAAATAGGATCAGATGCTATGGCCTATGTAATTTCAAGGTTTTAGGGTAAGTAATTTTCCTATTTAATAATTGGGTCTTTTACTAATTTGTAGGAACTAGAGCCTACAAATCCTCATATAAAAAATAAGGTCTGATAACACTGAAGCCAATAGATGCCTTGATGGCTTTAGCTGATGTAAGAGCTTTAATGTTATCATCGCTAGTGTATAGAATACCTAATTTCAATTGTTTTAGTTGGGACAGTTTTTCGTTTGCCAAACTAGAGATGGCAAGTTGTCATTGCGGTAGATTTGTTTGATCTAATTTTTCTGCATTTTTTATACCAAAAAAAAAAAGGAAGTTTAAACATGAAGATAAAAGAGCATTTTATCAATACCTGTGTGCTATATTCCTTAAATTTACTTGGATGTTAGTTTGGGTAAAATTTATATCAGTACACTGTCCTACTGTTCAATACCACCCCCTAATTAAATAAATACCCTACCACCCAAAACACATACATACGCACCCAAAAGCAGCAACAAAAAAAACAACAAAGACTTGACACATACATTTTTATAATACTAAGCTGTTTTAAGATCTGTTGTATGTTTGATTAATGTCAATATTTTAAAAAAAAATACTTTTGCCCTATAAATATTTTCAACACAAATTTTAGAATGGCAAATTCTATCACCTTTCTCTCAGGCCAAGAAGAAAGTTATATCATGAACTTACAGCGAGTTACTTCCTGTGATGATTGGGTGTGGGTCAAAGAAAAAGCCTTTGCAGTGCAAGAAGGTCACACTGTACCCACGTTCATGGTGGAGTGGAATGAGCTTGATAATGTGTTTGCCATCACCAGTAGGTACCAAAGCAGAGTTGCAAGGGATGAAAAAGATCATTCTGTAACTGGAGTGTTCAGCATCGGTGCCTTGCACATCATCCATGAGATACTGCATGGCATAAATTCATCTATCCCTAAGTTACCATCCAAACTCCCAAAAGAGCCGAGAGGGCTAAAAGCTGTTTTTATTGGTATGAAGATTCCAAATAACATGAGGTCAGCATGTACAGAACTTGAAGATTATTTTGTAAATGTTGCTGAAAAAGTTAGCAGCCAAGTTTTATATGAGGTAGGATTACATTCATTGGTGTTAATATTGAGCGGCAGATAAGGGCATTGAGTTGCTTAATTTTTTTTGGGGGGTAGGGTGGAGGGGGAGGACGGCGAAGACACAAGACCAATTCTAAAATTTTTATATTTTTAACAAAGTCTCTTCCTTTCTATTATTGGCTTTGAAGCTATTAAATCTTAACTTCACAATCTGGGGTCTAAATTGTTGGTTATATGACAAGAAAGGGAAAAACTTAATTAAAATTTAGTCATCACGGGAATGACGACAAGAAGGGTATTTGGCAAATCTGTATACATCAATATCTCATGTAAGTGAATGTCTAGTTTTTCACTAAATAAAAATGAGAATTAAAAACAATTTCAGGTTATGTTTGAAGCTTCAGCTGATACTCTAGAGAATTATTATGAACAGATGTCAGAGGTCTATAAGCAGGACATGGAACGAGTGAGTGCATTTTACATTTTTTAAACCTTGTTTTTTTAAAATGAACAATACTAACTTAATTGAAATTTCTTTTTTGGTCAATGAAATAGACACATTGTTGAAAAAGAAGTAGTATATTCCTGAGCTTTTTTTTTAGCTTTTTGTTCATTATTCAGATTTTCATTTTTACTCTTCATTTAGAAAATCGCACAATCTGATGAGGAATTGAAGAACATAGCCTTTGAAAGAGAGAACTGTACTGTCATGAAAGATCTTGAAGATATTTACACAAGGGAAGACGAAGCTGTCATCCGATTGATTTTAACACTGGCAGATTACTATAATTACCAACTGCAGGTACAAATTCCATTCTGCTGCAACCTACGTCTCCCTCTAGTGAAATCTGTGCGTCAGTCTCATAATTGGCTCAGAATTTACAGGGCCCCCTGAATCATTTCCCAGCTACACAGTTTTATCGTGGGTCTAGAAATTAGAGTGTGTCAATCAAATTTTTTAAAATCTATTGTGGAAGGATTTTATTAATCTGTTCATTACACAGGCATTAATTTATGCAATTCAGAGTTTTCCGCACACTCTCTACGCATGTTTGCTGGAAGTTTTTATCCATGTTTATAGATTTTAGTTATACAAGAAAGTGAAAAGAAATATTTCAAACTCACAAACAAATTTAAAAAATATTATCTAAAAAATCTATTCAGGTCTGACACTAGTAGAACCATTTTGTTTAAATTAAGAAATATGGTCTTGTTTCTTAACCTTTTACTTTTATGATGGTGCTATTAAGTGCAGTGAGAGGAAGTTTATTTCTGAGGAGATAGCTACACTGAATTATTTAAGAATTTTTTCTTAGCATTTATAGGCTACTTTTAACACATTAATTTAAGGTTTTATCATTTTTATCAAATGCCATTTTATTTTTAAAATTCCAAAAGTTCTACGACATCTGTTTACTTACTTACTCTTTTGGTAATTAAATGCTTATGTAACACACCCATCTTTTTAGTTGTTTAAAATTGAGTTGTTAGAATCTGTTTTTTAAACATGACTTGAAATTTCATTTCTCATTTGTCTCATTTCTGTCAATATCAATACCATTTGAGTAGTATTCGTTTTTATTTCCAGCCATACCAGGATAGCCATTGTTTGGCCAGTAAAGAGATTCAGTTTTACAGCCAACAGATCTCAAATCCTAATTTAGGGGAGCGGATAAAGTCTGAGAGTGCAGAAAAACATCTCTACTGGGCTTGCCTGCTCATTGAGGTCAATGAAGTCATCCAGAAATTACAGGTGGAACACAAGTCGATCATTGTCTCAATTTACAATGGTAATCTTATAAGGACCTGGAGGGTTGAATGACCTCCAGGGTCTATGGTTTAGCTCAGCCCCTTTCAACCTCTTTTATCTTACGATACACTAAAACAAATCACTAAAATTCTGCAACACACTATGCATATATATTAATATATTCACTGTATTTGTGAGGAGCAGCATTCAATCAAATTATAAGATAATGATATAGCCTGGATGACATCTTATAACCCAAACTTTGTAGTTGGTAAAATTCCAAAGAAAACTTTATTACATTGCATTTTTTTTTAAAAACTTGCTACATGACTATGAACATTTAGTGACACACCAACATGTTGTGACACACCAACATGTTGTGATACACCATTTGAAAACTGCTAGTGTAAAACATGTGTTTTGAGTTTGGACAAAAAATGTTTAAAATTTTATTTTACTTGTCTGATGACATCACTGTCTTTTTTGCAATATTTTTAAAATCTTCACAAGCAAGACAAAATAATTACAAGTCTGGCCTCAAGCAATTTTTTTATGACTTGGACTCCTAAATAAGATATGATAATATAATATTCTTTTATTGATCCTAATAAATGGAAATGTTTTTTCCAATTTCATTGTAAATATTCATTTTCAGCACATACATAAATATTATTACAGGGACAAACATTTTTAAACTAAAACAATTTAAACACAATAAATCTAAAGTATTTCTTAAGCACAAAAATCAGCCGTCATATGCCAATGAACTTCCACTCAATTAATGGCAATATTGACTGTAAGAGTGACTATTTAGATTTTGTAACAGCCGGGGAAGCACACTAGTAAATTCTGATAGATTGGGGAACAATTTTTATATTTTTCGGTTCTAACTTTGAGGGTAAGAATTCACCCTGATTGAGTAGATCATAGGTGAATGTGATGAAGAGGGTGGGATGTATCTGCCAATATTTTTTTTAGCTTTACAAATGCATATTACTTCAAATAGTTCTTCAAGAAAAGATAGTTTTGTTTAAGCAATATTATTATGCAAATCAATCTCATATCAGTAAACTTATCATATCAGTAAACTTTTCATTATCAGTAAACTTATCATATCAGTAAACTTATCATATCACAGTAAACTTATCATATCAGTAAACTTATCATATCAGTTAACTTTTCATATCAGTAAACTTATCACATCTTACAACTTGCTTATGTTTGCAATATCATTTTCTAACAATTTTTATCTTAGGACTTCTGGATCAAATCAACATAGACAAAAACAGGTATGGATCAGGGGCTTTTGACTTAGTGGCAGCAAACAGAGAACTGCGGTGAGTAAAAAAAAATCATAAAGGCTGTAAAATTGAAATATATTACCATATATGTTACTTTACTTAATCTGTAAAAATTATGTAGGTAAATCCAATGTGTTTTCTTCCCAGTGTTCATAATCCACAAAGGTGATGTTACCAATATCATTTTACTTAACAGCCATGTTAAGATTCTTAGGGAAGAGGAAACACTTATATAATCTCAGTCACAAAAAATGTTAAGATGCAATATTTAATAGCATTAAGAGCGAGTATTGATCATAGTATACATCAAAATTGATTCAAACAATTAAAACACTGTGGAACTAAAAAGTCAAAATTATGACTTTTATGAGTTCACTCTTAACAGAACTTCATTTTCATAACCAGTGAATTTTACTTGTTCACAGTTTGCTTAAGGAACTGCATACAGCAAAGGTACAGCTGCTTCTAAGCAAGAGAAAACAACTGAAACAGGAGAAAGATAAAATATATATGCAGGTCTGAAAATTTGCTCAAATATTTTTTGGCTAGATCAGTGGTTGGCAAATCAAGGCTCGCAAGGCGCATGCGTCTCTTTACCGACCTGAGTGTGGGTCGGCCAGCCGGCTACAAATCGGTTTTGACTCAGAAAAACATGGTTCTTGACAGGTTCTTAAAAAGAAATTTGGCTCTCAAAAAAATATAATCGTTCTGCTGCTGATATTTGGCTCTTTTGACTAATGAGTTTGCCGACTACTGGGCTAGATAATCTTAACCCCTGATAGTCCTGGCAGAATCACCATCTTTAGAAAAGTTTTTTGTTTTTTTAAAGACATTTTTTTTCAGGATCATAATGTAATTAAGATTGCTTAAACAACATATTGTATGGAGTTTTGTGTTCTGCTTTACATTGTCAGCAAATGGTTTAGTTAAGGCATATGGAAGAATATTCCAAAAATTCTAAATAATGGGTTGATTAATTTTTTATGAATTTTCAACCTGAAATTTCAGCACAGAAAAAAAGTTTTAGGACCTCAACTCTAAGGAGTAACTTTTTTTCTTGGACAGATACCAGAGGATAAAAACACCCACGAGACTCCAGATGTTTTCAAGCTCATCACTGATAAAGACAGACACCAAGAAAAGATTTTCGACATTGAATTGGATATTCTAGCTGAGAGGAAGAAACTTATTGGTACAAAATTGCAAATCAGAAAACGCGAGCTTTCAGGTGATCTTTGCAACTGTTTGTTTTGGTACTTATGCTAATGTCATTATAGATTTATTGGATCAAAGAAATATAATTATGATGGTCAACAAAAACCCAACTATAACATTGGTTGGAAAAAAAAGATGTGCAACAGATATCAAAACATCTGATTGAATTTAAATGTAATTGTATGCATCTTGCTTCTCAAGACCCCACTCTCCTTCCAACCCTGCAATATGCCCCACTACACTAAAAATACCATTTTTTTAAAATATATTTTTTAATATACAACTAAATCCATCATATCTGCTTGTATCTTTCAGTACTAACAGTTCAATGGCTTCTGAAAAGTAGAATTGGAATAGATGTTCTATATTAACCTTCAGGAGGCTGTATGATATAAATAGCTATAACTGTCTAATTAATTAGCTGATTGGGGGCTCTCGTGTTCAGCCTTGCTACAGTAGAACTAATAAAAGGATCACATAGCACATCTGTCACCAGTTCACATTGTGTGAGGGTCTGGTGGAATATGCATGGTTTAGAACAAAAAAGCCACAATGGTTGTGAATGAGAGCAAATTATAAACAAGCAGTCATTAGTCAAGTTTCAACATTAGATCTAATACTACTGTTTTCTCAAATGTTTTACTTTAATGACAATAATATGTTGTTTACAATTAAGTAAAAGTTTGACAAAGCTATTTTTGCCATGGTTTATGGTCCATTCTCCCCACATGTTGATTGGCAATAGGGTTGCCTACCCTGGCTTTAAAAGGTAGACCATTGAAATTACTGAATTATTCTCTCCACTTTATCACTTTCACTTTCATACATTTCACAAATATTTACTGAATGATTCAGATGCTGAAGAAGAGAGTATCGTGTTCCATGATGCTGTTGAAGATGTGGAACAGTTATCAGATGACAGTGATGAGTCTGGGGATATCGCAGGACGTGATGAAGAAATCATCAAGTTAAACAAAGAGAAAGTCAGGTTGACGCAACAACAAGCTAAGATAAGAGCTAAGCGTGTAAGTTTATGTGCTGTCCTTGTTGTTTGGCTAATGGCTAACCCAAATACTACCAATGATGAGTTTAGTTTTACTTAACCAATAGAATGGAATAGAGTTTTTCCACTGAAAAATACCTGCAATTCCATGTTCATTTTTAAAGGCAAGAATTAAGTGTAAATGATAAAAAATGATTATTAATAATATTGTTGTCATTGGAAGAATAAAGTCTGTTAAATATTTTAACTAATTTGATTTACAAAATAATGGAAATCTGCATTATTTTAGAAACTGCATCAGATGCTTTTTATTTTTAAAAAAGTACTTTCTTTCAAAAAGAGAAAATATTTTATAATAGCTCAAACTTTTTTGAAAATTTACTCGATTAACTAGCAGACTGAAAAACAGGCTGTGGCCGAATTAAATTTAGGTAGCATTTTCCCATTTGAAGGTGATATACAAATTCAGCTGCAGTTTTCTTGATATTACAAATAGATTATTAAGAGTAATATACCATTTTGTAGGTAAATGAATTTGTTGTAAGATAGATGTAAAATATTTGTAAATTTTATTATCAGTAGAAAATTATTGATTGTTAAATTATAAATAACAGTAAACCAATAACAAAAATTATATAAATGTGCCAACTCACTTGTCAATTTTGAATTTCCAAAATATTTAAAATTTAAAGCCTTTCATATGGTGGTTTCAATATAGTATATCCAATAATATGAAAAATGCACCAAAGAACACAGACATTTAATAATATCTAGACTTTCATTTACTTATGCTTATATGCCTTTAGTAACCCTGTAGCTTGTTGCCATGATAAACAAGTTTTACAGTTTTTTAAACTAGCTTAGAAGTTAAATCAAAATAAATTAAGAGCTCATTTTTTTAAACATTCTGCCCATAGCATGTGGTTTGAAAATAAACACCCTGTTAGTAAATTAAAATCTCGGACCACAACGGGAATAGAATACTATATATATTTGACTAATTTTACTACGACTGGAACATTGGCGCTGCCATCAGCTAACTAAAGAAGTGCTCTGGTGCTCACAGCGACTCATGGTAGTTAACCAGTTAAGACACATTGAAATTTACATATATTAAAAAAAATTATTAAATTTGGTTTGCAGGAGCTGTTCCTCAATTCTATCAAGTCAAGACGACTGCAGGCTGTGGAAGAAGATAAAAAAATTGATCGTCATCATCAAATTCAAAAGGTGTGAAAATCTACTTTACAGGACACTGAATTCGAAGATTGTCTAAATTATATAAATTTTCACACTATCGTGGAGCCATCAGGTCATCTTATAATTGAGATCAGTAGCAGCCAAAAATTGCATCACATTTTTGTTTTAAAAAAAAAGAAAATTAAGGTTATCAACAAGGCTCAGGAGGTCATTACGCACCACTGAGACTTTATTTCAAAAGTGTTGGTAGTGGTTTCCAACATTGGTCTAGTTAAACTATGCTACCATTTTGTCAGAAGATAATAGGCAGACAATGTCAATTGAACTCCAAGTTAGCTTCAGTCTTTTGAGACTCTCTGCGATCAAACATGAATGGCAGCTGTTGTATGTGAGTGAGATTTTACTTTTGTGTTTCCTTTTCCCCAAGAATAGCTACTCTTATGGGATGACAAATCTATCAACATTTTTGAGCCGTTTTTCTTTTTGTAGCCTTTTTCCTTTATCAAGGGGCATACAAGTACAAGGCAGAGAGACCAATTTACCCATGTTAACTTGATTTTTTTATTTTGCATGGATGCATAGATACAAACTAAAAAAAAAAGCTATAAATATTTGACCCATATCAAAGTGAGTCATAAAGTAGTATACACTAGACAGGTGATCTTATTCAAACGGGCAAATGTACACCAAAAAAAATACATCTTGTAAATAGAAAACCTGAACCACAAAAACATATTTTTTAATAGATATGTTCCAAATGTTAAAACTTCCATCTAAAAATTAACAGTTTTTTAATACTTGAAATTTCATTTTCCATTTTTGCAATAGAGGAGGGAGATGCAGAGAGAAGAAGAAAAGCAACGCTCCACATTTGTGTTTGAGGAACGGAAAAAGACAATAGAAAGATTAAAAGAATATAAAATGGCAAGATTTCATCTTTACACTATTCTATTGCACAAATTTTTTGGTCCCATAAATAGTTCTTAGTAATTTAAGATTTCTCAGAATTACGTAATTTAGTTTTTATGATCATCGAGTCTCATGTGGATGGGAACTTGCAACTACTCACATCTTTGTTAATGCATTATGCAAGTTATATAATACTGTAATAAATTAAGTCTACCCAATCCTAAATTTCATCATCTTTAATAATAAACTTTGATAAAGTACAGAAACATAAAATCTAAATTGTGTTCCCTGTTTCATTTATTTCCTTCTAGCCGTGTAAGAATTCAGAAAAGAAAATATTTCCATTTCTAAAATAAATTGCTTTATCTCCTAGAAATATGCAAGCCCAGCTGTTATAAAGCCGCCCAGAAACCAAAAATCAAGCGTGAAGCAGACAACCACCAAAACATCTCAGTCCAAGTCTGGCCCTTCTAAACCCACTATTGGAATGCAACAGAGCCCAGCCAAGAATGACCCCAAGCCATGGAAACAAAAACAGAAAAAGAACCAGTTGGACACCCAGAGTATTCCTGTCTCCATTCATGTAGCCGGCATAATATCTTATAAGGGGGATGCATCATCTGTGGGTCTCGATAATGCAGTTTCCTGCCCTCTTCCTCCACCAACTTCTCCGCCACCACCACCACCTCCTCCACCTCCTCCACCACCACCACCACCTCCTCCACCACCACCACCTCCTCCCCCTCCTTCACTAAATTTACCAATTCAAAAAGGAAATTTTGATATCAGTGAGGGTTTTGGAAAACTTAAGAAGGTTGACCATTCTGAAACAAAAGGGACACCAGCTCTCATTGACTTAGGTAGCATTTTGGCAACAAGATCAAGATTAAAACCAGCCTCGGAACGCCAGGATAGAGCAGTGATGGAAGCTAATCATGGTGGGTAAATGACACATATTTAAAAAAAAGAGGATTGCTTTTTAAAAAGTTTAATAAATATTTTTAAAGAGAAATTTAAAGGAGCTCCTTGGTTAAATTTGTCCACAGTTTAGTCACAGAAGTGTCAAAATTCAAACCACCCTAGAGGGCTACATCAAGAAAGTTTCATTTGCTTAAAACGTTGCAGCACACTAACATGAGCAAATCTCTAATGAACAAATTTTTATAACTGGACTTATAAATTCAAGTTTCCTGTATTTAATTAATTTAAATTTAATCTTTTTAAGGTTAGTGGTACAGGTACAGGCTTTAATGGTACCGGGTACTTTGTAAAAGATTTCCTAATTAAAATGTACATTTTGCATCCATCAAATCAAGAACAGTTTTACTTTAAAAATAATGAGATGACCCTAATCTCAATCTTGCTGCCTATAATGATCTGTTGTCATCATTTTAATTGGCGAAAAAAAATTATTTTTTTTTGCCAGCTCCCAAGACATTAAAATATGTACCGGTAGTGTAGCCTTTTTGGGCCCGTTGGACATTGATCTGTTTTACAACAGTGTCACCCTGAATCTTTAAAGTTACATGTCCTCAGGGTTTCAGCATGATAATGAAAGAATGTAATGTTTAATTTCTAAATTCAATGCAGTATAATGTCACTATGTGATCTGTTTAAGTGTTATTAGCTACCGGTACCACTACACTTTTCATTCCTTAATGTCTCCTATTCCAATTAGTGAGCCGATTACACTGCAGAATTTGGTGTGCTATATCTCCTGGCCCATTATCACAAATTTGGTTTATATTTTAATATGGTTACTTCTCCAAAATTCACATAAAATTCATAAATAATAATTTTACCCATACTAATACAAAATTTTTAAAAATATTTCACAGTAGTCTACAAATGTAACATTTTAAAGTCTTTTTTTAAATGACCTTGTACTTCACTGTGACTCTAATCTTATTTTAGCCCATCTTTTATTCTAAAACCTTTATTTGAAGATAATTTAGAAATTAATTGAATCTTCTATTTCATGAAATAGTAAACTAAATTTATTCTTTGTTTTATTATTTACAATTTTCAAATTTTCTTTGTTATGATCTGTATTAAACCAAACAGAACATATTAAGAGTGTTAACAAAATTCCCTCTTTTAAATTAAAATAATGAATATTCTCCAAAATAGCCACTTAATATTTCATAATCACCATTCTTATTTTTTTGGAATTATTTCTCAAAATAGATCCTTTGGCGGAAATATTCAGTATGATTAGGTCAGGGGTGACTTTGAGAAAAGTTGAAATAGATTCTGCTTCATCAGACGACAACATGTGTGCATCAACATCTTCCATTTTCAGCCATGATGCGAGAAGCCAACTTCACACTACACTACTAAACAAAATAAGTCAAGGTGTCCGTGGATCTTCTCCAGACTCTGATGATGATTGTGATAGTGAAAATGACTTTGATGACTGAGAAGTTTCTTAGCATGAGTTTCAAAATAATGTTGTGACTTTTACTTTTATGTACATAACTTATTTTTACTGTTATTTTTCTTTTAGATAATGAATCAAATTGAGACATGTACTTGGAATATTGTTTAACTAAAATTAAATTATTTTTTTGTACTAAAACTAATTTTATTACAATATGCTTATACTGTAACTTTCATTAGTTATTAATTAATATTGCTTGCTAACAATATTTGGAAGATTGATGAACAAACCAGATCTATTATTATCATCATCTTACAATTCAAATTTGTCTGTTTCTTATTTATTGAAACAATTTACTTTTATTAATTTTTTTTTTTTTTATTATCTTATCATTAATCAGAGCAACAAAGAATTAATGCTTTCTTATAAGCTAGGATCTTCAGGTTTCTCCTAGAAAGGCATTGATAACTGAAAAAGATGTTTTCTTGATGAAGAGATTACTTGCAAAAACAATGCTAGAAATAGTTATGGCCATGAAATGTGTGATCTACTTTCATTTTTAATTATTTGCATAAAAATACTATTTTACAGGTATTTTGAGATTTATGATAAATGAGTGTTAACTTTGCAATGCATTATTTCTTCTTATAATGGACATTTTCTCAAACTATTGGTTATTATCACCTGGCATATACTTTTTAACCAGCAAAAAATTAGATAAAGCATTATAGAAGTAGAAGATTCTTGATTCAGATTAGAAAATACAGAAACCTGTACACAAATTGTTCAGGGTTAGTTTTTAAACTGAAAATTGTGCAATAATTTTGTTGTTTAAATCTTGTAATTCCAGTACTGTGTCGTGTACTGTAAGCCTACATTTTTAGCCCATTTTTTTAGTATCACACATTAAATTACCGGTACAAAGAATGCTTAACAAGTCAATTATTGTAATGATGAGATAATATGATGAGATATGTCTGCGATTTTTTAAGTCTATCGCTATTTATTTTATTTATAATACTACACTATTCACATTACAGAGTGACAATTTTGGAGCTGTTTGAAAATTGTAAATAATTAATAAAACAAATAATAAATTATTTTGCCATTTCATGAAATTGTCTTGAATTTAAAATAATTTTTTTTTAAAAACAAAAGCACTTAAAAAAAAAATTATTAAATTTTCTCTTCTGACAAGTTCTGATGTCCCCAATTTACTTAGCAAACATTACATAACATTAACTTCTCTTACACACCATACTAACAGAAAATCATCTCTTTTTATACCATCACCCATGATAATAGTAGTCGCAACAAAAATATGAAATCAATAAATATATTTTTATTGCTTTCATTCAAATCATTTATTTTCAACAGCAACCACTGGTCTTGTGTTCTGAAAAATAAAATAAAACATATTGTAACAAACTGATAAACATTTTCAATATCTGAGACATTAACTCTTTGTATCTTATCCTTTGTGCACCATAGCAACAAGCTATGATTTCATAGCAGCTACCCTTTGTATATCCCCTGGGTTAAGCCTTGTTTTGGTTTTGGTCCATCATTTTTACTGCACCAATTCTAAATCAATACAAACCCTCTACTGCTGGTTGAGGGATGTTGTAAACAGCATTCATTATTCTAAGCATGAAGTCATCAGATTTTAAACAATGACGAAAATATTTGTTTAACATATTCTATTGTAATTATTTATTTATTTAACAGTATAATTTGTTGTTATTACCCGTTTCCAGTTTCGGGTATTGAGCAATAGGGATCTCCTGCCAATAGGCAATTCATGTATCAGTGGAGAACTGATAACCTTTCCACATGGTCTACATGCTCCAATGTGCTTTCATTAACCTGATAATTAAAAGAACAAAACAGTCCTTACAAAGATGTTTCATTGTTCAAGATTAGAAAAAATGAAGTGAAGTATATTCTTTTTTAAAGAAGGCTGTTTGGATCAAAATCCACAATGAGAGGAGAGAGAAGAAGAGGAAGACAGAGAAAAAGATGGGAAGATAACATCAAAGAGTGGACAGGACTAAAACTAGGCGATGCTGTGCGAAGTGCAGAAAACAGAGAGGAATGGAGGAGGATAGTTTTCATGTCATCTGTGGCTCCCTAACGTTCCAAGGACTAAGGGACATGATGATGATGTTTGGATCAAAAGTATTTTTTAAGCAGCAACAAGAAATCATTTAATTGTGACACAAATTTTGTTAATGAATGGACAGGTTCTTAACTAATAACTATAAATACTAACTTTGAACTAATAACTAAGTCGAAACAATTTTATTACCAATTTAACAAAAGAAGAAAAAAAATATTGCACACTATTACCTCAACTACTCATAGAAGGTATTAAAAAAATAATTTAAAAATTACATTTTTAAAATATGTATCAGCTTAAAAAAGAACATATTTATTTTTCCCTCTTAACCATCATTATTTAATCCCTTTAAAAACAAACATCATGATAATTCAGCAATGTAATTGTTAAATTTAAAAAAAAAATCTATATTCCTTTGTAAATATGAAGCTGTAGAATTGTGTAGAGTTTTTAACTATCTGAATTAACTCAAGTTAGATGTGCTACCAAATGTATTTCCTGTTAATAATTACAATTTTTTTTAAAGTAACTTAACATTTATTCATGTAGTCAGCACTTAATTAAAAAATATGTGACCAAAACTTACCACGAAGATTAACTTAATTAAGAGAATCCTTGGTCTCCTGGTCCAAATCATGGACAGCAATTACTGATTGTCACCTGAAAAATGTAGGCATGGCTTGTCAATATTATTTAAAAACATTATGCAACAATGCTAAATTTGTTACAGTACTCCGTAATAATTATGCTATTAAATCGAACAACATAAGTAAAAATTAAACAGCTGAGTATTGCTATTTTTTAATAAATTCATGAGAATTCAAACAGTTAAAGAAGCTCTAAATGTCTTTCATGCTGTACGAGGCTACAAATTATGGGTCAGAAAAAAAATATCAACAAATATCTTTAAATTTCTATGCCCCAGTGCAAAATCCCTGAATACAAGTTAAGCTGAACCCCATGAACATGAAACTATTGAAACACTAGAAACCATCAAATCCATACAACACAAAACCAAGTGACAGAAGTGGTTTTAAATTGCCCTAGTTCTCAAACTTCTCATTGATACTACTGAACCAAAGCTATTTTTTTAAAAATACTTCAACAGATGAATCAAAATTGGAAAGCAAACCCATACTTACACCCAAAGTCCTCCTGTTACCAAACCTTTAACAACAGCAGCCAACTCAACTAGAGACAAGGAACTCAATCCTTGCTAGGACAATGACGGACCTGGACTTGTACTCACAGGGACATGAAGATTGGTTTAGATTGACAGTAAAACCTCCACACACAGGATAGGTCACAGCTAATTTCTTCATTGTCATTTTGTAGCAAACTGACTGCCCAGACTATACATCATTCACAAAATAAAATAATCAGAAGACTATTTTAGGACAATCCATTTTTAGACAGAAAGAGCATTATGTCAAGCAATAACAAGAAAAAATCAATTTATTTTTCAGAGACAGCTTACCTTGATCCAAACAAGTAGAATAATTCAAGTCAAAAGTTGTTTTTATCAAAATCAAACATCACAAATGAACTATCCAGAACAAAGCTGAATCATCAGTAAGTTAGAAACCTACTACCATTATTTTTAGCCTCAGATAGCTTGGAGATGTGTATTCAATATGAGCATTTCTATGATTGCTATGTCACAAATATACGAGTCTCGAATGCAAAGTACTTCAAATAGTAATCAACCATTATAGTGGCAAACATACCATATATTTTCAAGCATATTAACAAAAGCCTTTGTAAAAATAAAAAAAATTGGTTAAATATTTGGCCTTTGACCACCACAGGACAAATCAGCTCAAATTGTGTTAAAATGCCTAAAGCAATGGAATTGTCAGAAACATGACTGACTTTTAAGCCTTCATACCAAGCAAACTTCATGATAGGGAATGGTATAAGTTGCCATATTTGGTCCAATCAGAAGAATAAAAATAGTAACCATTAACTTTGACCTATTTTAAGCCTATTGAATGTATATTAAAAGTTTTAACAAGTGTCATTGAAAATTGAATAAGCCGGAGCATATAATTTCAGTTGAATGAATTCCATTGCCTTCTTACTTACTCATACTCCTTAATTTTGAATATGTGAACTATTTATAAACTTAAATGTGTTTTTGTAGTAAGAACAATGACCAATATTAATAAAAATATTTTTGAGATTCCTTTGTTCTGAATTTAATTAATAAAACCCAGAAGAAAAAATTGGTTCAAGGAGAAAACAAATATGTCGTTGCAGCAACTATTTTACAACTGCACTTCAACATGTGTTAACTTTCGTTTCCTTAATTACCTAGGAAAAGCAAAAAATAATATAACCAGGTACAATCCCCAGATATACAGGTACCAACCATTTCCTTTTTAGATAAATTTAATGTCACTGAAGGTTCAAATTTCAATCCCATTCAAAATACAGGTACCAGATTCATTATATCTGTTTGATAACGTGTTATCCCTCCATCTTTCATGGTAATTAAAGGGAGAAACTGCAATCAGGTTAGCAAAGAATCCATCTATCTTTTACTCCATCTAAGTTTACTAGATCCTCCAAGCAAACATTTGCTCATGTTAACCATGAATAAGATTACGACAGATCCTCCAACAACAAAGAATTTGAACAAAGTAAGCAAAATATATGATAACACCGAAAATCTTAATTCCATAAAATAACAACACTTTATTGATTGGGTTACATACAAAGACTTAACATATGCCAAGAACAGCCAGAATTAAAACAACCCTCCTTTTAAGTAATGGCTCTATTAAAAAAAAATATATTTTTAATTTTTAAAAAACCAACCAAAAAAAACAGTTTTACAGCCATTAAAAAAAAGTATCTGATCATTCTAATAGCTAAAGTTGAATGAGCTGAAAAAGAGAGACTTGTCAAGAGCTTTCAAACAGCACATATAGATGGATAAAATAAGGAAGACATAGCACAAAGAGATCATTTTTAGTCCATTAAAACTGATTCTAAAACTTAATTTTGGACAAAGCCATTGAGACTGATACAAATATCTATATAAACATAATTAATCATTGTTTTAAAACTACATAGAGCATACATTCCCATATTTACAGCAAAACAGTGGTCCCACCTCATAAAATCGTTGACAACTTTCAAACTCACTGAATATTAACTTGATACATTTAATAACAGTTAGTAACTACATGTCTAATGTCAGTGTTTATCAACAAGTAGAAATGGTAGAAGTTCAAATTCCATCTGCCATAAACATGGAATCAAATTTCCCCTCTGTCACAATCCTAATGACAACATAACAGATCTTGGATCATTTTGACAGAATTGCAATTTGATTTACAAAGTATACATGTATCTCCCCTCCACATAGCACGATAAGCAAGAGGTTTTCCCAATATAAAAAATCCAACCATCAAAACTGTCAATGAAACTGATCATGGATTCATCAAAACAACGAGACTGACATTTTCACAATCGGATGACAAGACAACCCATAGAAACACAAAAATAACTGGAATCAATGGATCATTTCCGGTAACTGCCACATTATCATCAAATAAAGCAATTTTTCAGCAAACTGGTGAATTCATACTTCTCTACCTCCTGTTTGTTACTCACTGATCAACATATCAGTTTCGGTGAAGGGCAACATCAATATTTCGTCTTTCCATCCTTGATTTGTTTTTCAAACCTTTTTGTGAGTCAAGTACTAAATAAATATAACCATGAAAAATAAAAATAAAGTGAAACAGTTTACCTTAGGAGAGCATCCCATATATTACTTTATTACCAAGCAGCTTGAGGAAAAATTTGTAAAACAGGGTTTGGTCAAACAACGATTAAAATTTAAAAAAAAAACACCTTCCACAACTTTAATATACAATGTGATCTAGACATTCCCATTCTGGGTACTACAGAGTCATTAGACCTGTCACTACTACTATGCTTCGTTTGATTACCTTTGCTTATAATCGAAAGTCAGATTTTGAGAAGCAAATAACTTTTAGTTATAAAAAAAATTCAATGAATCATCTATATATATAATTCGCAAGCAAAGGTCAAACAAGACGCAGGCTATTTATAGATACGCTAGAGTGTGGTTCAATAATGAGTTCACTAGCGCGCAAAATATAATTCCAGATAACTACGCTATATATGATATATATATTTTTAGTAACGCAATTGCCTTTGGTGCGTAATATTTTCTTTTCGGAAATGAAATCGTCTCAATTTAAAAATTGTATAAAAAATATTGGGTTTAATAGTGGTTGGGGCATGAGAATATTAATATAGTTCATGGGTGTGAAATAAAAAGTGTGCAGTGACGTATCATGGGGGAAGGGGGTGTAGCAAATATTGGGATTCTTAAATGTGCGTTACTTGAGTTCATGTTTGTCAAGTAACTTGACTACATGGGAAGTTCGCGCATTGCTGTCACCAATGTTTGACGGGCTATATCTAGTTGTAAATAATTTAAGTTAATTTGTTAAAATATATATATATATATTTTTTACACATTTATAAGCATATTTGAGTTAGTTATTCGCCATGCTTGATTACAGGAATGAATGGCAATTCAAAGTGCAATAATCAGCACCATTGTAAACACTCACAGTAATAAATGTAAAGGAAGAGCCAATATTTACATTCTGTGAACGCAGTACTTCTCCGACAATTCAGTATGAAGTACTGGCAGGAATTTATATTATTACCGTCTTAGCGGGGACCCAATTTTATTTGTTTAATTATTTTAATCTGCTCTAAATCTCCACGCTTTTCCAGAATGGCAGCTGAGAGCACAGGGATCACTTTGCAAATCAAACAACTAACACATTTTCTGCCACAAATAAAAAAGGAGATATTGGTGTATATATTGGAGTCTATATATGTATGTATACATATATGCTCCACACAGTGAAAGGCTATTAAATTTCAAAATAATGCAGAATGAGCAAAAGAAAGATTTTAAAGGATACTGATAGCTCTCTGGGCATCTGCTTCATTACTGAAACGGACGTAACCAATTCCTGTAGATCTTCCCTTGTCCATTACAATTTCTGCAAACTTCACATCACCTATAGGAAATAAAATGACGACTTACTTTACTTCATTAACATTTTAAAATGTTCAACACAAATGTGACAACATTTCAAAAATGTTTTAGTCAATTTTGAAATATATCACATAGCTTACCTGCATCACGGAAGTGCTCTTTGAGGGCTTGCCAGTTCACACTGTATGGAAGCTGTCATAGATAAAATAATTCAAGTTTGGTTGAAGATGTCATATTTTTAGAATTGTTTAAATTTTTATGGTGCATAAAATTTTTAAAGTTTTCCTCTGTCTCATTAAAACTACTTTTCTTCATTGTAACTTAAACCTTAAGCTAATACCCTATGTTTATTTTTGGATATCTTTTAAAAATGTAATAAATCAAGCAGACATATATGCCCATTAATTTAAAAGCAACAGAAAAATTGTTCATTTCATAAACTTACATTTTTTACAACAATGGTGCAGTTATCTGGACGTGTTGTTCTGCGACCACCATCATCTCTCATGTCTCGACCACCACCGTAGCCATCCCTCATTTTGTCAGGCATTCTGTCCATTCCCCCCATTCTATCATTCATCCCCCCCATTCTATCATTTAACATTCCCATCCGGTCGCTCATCCCCATTCTGTCTCTACCCATTCCAAGTCCGTCCATGCCCAGTCGATCTCCACTACCCCCCAAACCTAGCCTATCACTTGAGCCACCCAGTCCACCCAAGCCTGCAGACAGTGAACTCAAACTTGGCCCTAAACCCCCTAACCCAGAGAGAGTGTTATTGCCATTATAACTGGAACCGCCCATTCCAGAATAATTGTTGGAATAATTGTCTGACATGTTCATTTTGGAGGATCCTCCCATACCCCCTAGACCCATATCAGAGAGGGACCCAAGACCACCTGAGCCACCACCCATACCCCCCGATCCTGATCCAAGACCCATGCCCATTCCTCCAAGCCCACCTAGACCAAGCCCTCCCATTCCGCCTAGACCCATATCAGGTCCACCCATGCCTGAACCAAGTAGACCTAATCCTGAGCCTCCCAATCCCATTAAACCACTACCACCACCCATACCAAGATCTGAAAAGGAATAGATTTTAACATTTACCTTTCCTCTCATTAATTGATGGCCTATTAAATGATAATGAGTTGTAACAACATAAAAATGATTTCTAAATGAAATTATATTACATTTTTTAAAAATGCATAAATTACGGTGGGATATTTTTAAAGACGGGTTAACCATATAATTTTTAAATACAATTGTACACAGTAGAAATAATGCTAATCACTTGACAAGCTGCAGTCGCCAGCTACATGAGGTCTTGTGTAAAATAATAAACCAATAAACTTTCAAGTTCCAATTTGATATCAAGGTAAAGAAATAACACACGGTTCATTTTAAAAATCATTAAACAAATTAACTGAAATTACGGACAACTTTTTAAAACAAACTTTCACAAAAACAAATAACATTGCTAACAATTCAGCTAACCAAACTTCAATGTATTTAACAAAACTTTCTTTTGCCTCTGACTTGTGCATCTTAAGTGTCAACAACATACCTGGTTTGTAGTATGAATCTGATAATCCCATACCTCCATCTAAAACAGAAAAGCACACCTCAAGGTCATTTACACATCTAGATTTTAAAATGAATTTAGGTTTCATTTCAGGGCAGCCATGATATAGAAGACCAGGACTACACATTATTTCGAAACCACATAATACTAAAACTAAGGTATCACTAATCACTCATTAGGACAGAGGATGTCACTACCTTTCATCCCCAAGAGACAATTCATCCAAACATGAAGTTTGGTTAGCTCTTTCAGAGAAAAAGAGCATAACATAACTTTTACCATAATTTTTTTTAAAGAGATGACAACATGCAATAAATACTGAGGATCAATGTTCCCTTTAAGCTGTGCGGCATCTCACAGACACCTCGCAGCAGTTTTGAGTATCCGCGTAGCAAATTTCCACATAAGTGTGTATTTGTGTTTGTTGGCTGTAAAATTTTGCACACAAAAAAATGATGCTGTAAAACTTTGCACACAACTGTATGATTTTGCACATGAACCAGCAAACCTTAGAGGGAACATTGCTGAGAATGTCAACTCAGAAGTGTGTATTTCATTTTATATAAAATTTTACATAATACAACTTTTATGGCCATTCTTCGCTTCGAAACAACTTAAAAAGATAAACAATTTTTTTTTTAAATTATTGAAAACCTTTTTTTCACGATTTACTACTACAAACAAGGCAAGCAGATCATTTAACTTTGTTTTGTGCAATCTGTTAACATGTAGGAAAAGATGGTGAATTTCTAACTTTCTAGATGAACATACTACTTGTATGTATACCATTTGTGTTTAATATTAAAATTTAATGCACTGCATTGGCAGCTACTTTAATCCGCTGAGGAAAAATGAATACAATGGGAAAAAATCAATCATGTATACATTTGATGATATATCTTAATTTAGTAGCCAATGTGTAATAATACGTGTGGGAAAAAAGTTATCAATTAATAACAAACATGTAAAGCTTAATTTACATTTTATAAAACCTATACCAATTGAAGTTGCTGGAGTAATTAAAGTGTGTGTTGTTGCTCTTTTTAAAATTTCATTTTATATCATTTTTTTTAGAAATAATATTTCCAACTTTGTAAATGAACGACAAATGATAGATTAAATCTGATGTCTATGCATGAAAATTAAGCGAAATTTTCAACATTTATGTTCATCAGCACATATTCTCCACCAAAAAAAAAATTAAAAAGTTTCAAAATTTTAAAAATTGTTACAAAAATACATTGCAGGGAATATTAAACTTACTGCTTCCAAGCTGACTTATATTTGTGAGGGGCGCACCCCCTGAACCAAGGCCCATACCAATGGATTTTAAGCCACCTAAAATGAAATATTTAAATTAAAGAAATAAGACAGTTTTGATTACACACACTTGGTTCTATTTTATTTAAATGTAATATGGGCAGCACTGTGATCAGCAATGGGATATATAAAACACAGGCTAGAAGTCTTCATCAGCTAACAAAATAGAATAAATTTTAAAAATTATAATTAATAAATATTACTCACAATCCTTGTCTGAGAAACAGTAAAATGACAAATTTACTGTTTGTTTTGTCCTTTTCAGGTTTTTCCCCTATTGTTACTTATTTTATTTAACAATAACTAATAGCTTACTTGGTAATTTAGGCTTTTCTGGTTCTCGTCCTTTGTCAATCCTGACAATCATATTTCTTTCATATAAAACCTGACCATTGAACATGGCTGGAAGGGCTAAGGATATTTCTTACAAAATTTACATTAATCCATTTTAGTCAAGCTTTTAAGATACTAGAAATAATTGTACTGGTACTATTGTTATTAAAAGTTAATTGTAAAATCATGGGGCGCGGCGACCTCTCCAGCATCAGACAATATGGTGGTAAAATTTGAGAAAATTTCACACCCATTTAATCACATAAAAATCCCCGATAGTAACAGAAATAGGAAGCAAACTCATTTATGTAGTGATTTTCCCTTATTATACATAAAATCATTCGCATTTTTAATGACGATTTGGCTAGCGGCCAAGTGTATCAGCTGTGACACGGAAGAACATCTTTGTTGTAGAATATTTTCGAAAAATAAATGGCATCAAAGTTAATGCAATGATATATTAAGAAAAAGCTTTAGCAAATAGAAGAATTTTGGGTAGATTAGTTTTATCACTCTTTTCTAATTTAGTAGCATTTTAATTAGGGAACAACCTGGTAGACATTTTCAGCAGGAACCGAGTTTTTGGGACTACCTTTTGCCTAAATACAAGTACAATTTGTTCCATATAATCATTATTCCTAATTTTTCCTGTAGCACTTCTGCCATTGCAAAGAATATTAACAAAACAACCTATTAATTTCACTGGTAAATTAATTGTTCCTCTTATTTCTGTTTGATTAATTGATTTATGGAGTACTAAATTTTTTTTAAATTCAGTTAAATTTTATCAAATTTAACCCTCTTGAGACATCAAATTTAACCCTCTTGAGACATCAAATTTAACCCTCTTGAGACTACTGGGCCTATCTACCTGCCCTGAGTGTCATGACAAAAAAAGACGAAAGACCAATCTATTGGCTCAATAATAAAGGTCTCAAGATTGGCTGTTTGTTTCATTTTCGTACCAGCTAATCAGATGGCTTCTCGCATTTCTTGCCATTTCGTTATTTTAAGGGGGCTTCCATTGATATTTTATGGTGTTCAGCGGTCATTTGATATATTTTTTTTTGGTAACTAGTAACTACTATAAAAGCTTAAAACATACGTGACCTTGAAATATGCTAAGAATAGAAGCATAAGCAGCTCCAGGGAAATATTTTATGCAGTTTTCCCACTTTGTCTCTCATTCAAATATGTGATGCCAAAAATGCTTCTGAGAAGAATTCATGTTTATGGCTATATAATGTATTGATTCATAAGCATCAAAACTAAATTTTAAAAAAAAAAAGGATACACACTGCCTGCACAGCTTCCATGGGGTGCTCAAACACCACAACACCCATGCCTCTGGATTTGCCATTTTTGTCCTCCTTTATCTCAGCTTTAATTACATTGCCAGCCAATTTGAAAACATCTTTTAATTTCCACCATGTAACTTTGTAGTCCAACTATTTATTTTGAATTTTTAAAAAATATAAACAAACTATATTAACAAAGGTAACAATTGAGCAGATTTTTAGTTATCAAGTTATATAACAGTATCATGATTAAATACAAATAAAAACACATCTTTAACGTCTAATCTCTCCATATGCCAAATTTAAAAATCAGGATCTGTGTATATAGTTTTATCATGCATGGCACAATAAATCAATAAAATTTTAAAAAGAACTAGAGATAATAATCTAAAAATGTACCACCCTGGCCAAAGTTTCAGTTTTGCAGAAACTGAATTACTATTAAAACTAAAAATAAATTTAAGTGGATTCACATTATCCCCCCCCCCCCCCCCCCCCCAACTTCAAAGATAAATGTTCAATTGATTTTAAAAATATTAATATTAAGTAGCACTTGTTTCTAATATATATTTGAAAAATGTATTATTGACATTTAAGTGCATTAACAAAATCAACAATTTGGCAGAGTTTTGTCCAAAAAGATATTTAAATTGTTAAATAGTAAATAATTTTACAAAATATAATTTCGCTGCAATAGAAAACAAATGTAACAAATCCATGAAAAAGATGGGAAGAAATATGCTCTGCAGTCAGCAAGACAAATGGAAACAGACCATTGCGCATATTGAATGTGAACTTTCAGTCTGCAGCGGAAAGAGAGTCGAGATAGCAAACTTGATCAACAGCTTAAAGCCTTACATCATAAACATGGCTGAATCCCTCTATAGCCAACGCAGAGCTGGTACCGGCTAATTACAAACTATTTTTGGCGAGACAGAAAAGACAGGAGGAGGAGGAGTACTTGTTGCTGCCCATGACAGCCTGAACTGTCATGCTGTTCCAGAACTTGATGTTGATGAATGCGAACTCATGTGGGTGAAGGTGAAGGGTAGATGCAAACTTTACGTTAGTGCCTATTACAGACCCAACACAGCAGATGAACCAAGCCTGAGGAGGCTTGATGTGTCAATTCAGAGAACAATGCAGTCGAAGAACGTTTCCCTCCTCATAGGCGGAGATTTCAACTTTCCTGGTTGGAACTGGCAGATTCCTGCCTTGAAGCCCAAATCCCCATACCTGGTCCTACACTCTGAATTCATGGAGATAATTAACAACAATGGCCTGGAACAGATGGTTAAAGAACCCACGCGAGGGGAAAACACTCTCGACCTACTCCTCACTAACAGTCCACATCTCATCCCAAGAGTTGATGTCATCCCCGGGATATCAGACCACTGCATACCGTATTGCGAATTCCAAGTCAGCGCGCTAAAAAAGAAACAGGCTGTACGAGAAATCCCCATTTATGCAAAGGCAGACTGGGATAGCCTGAGAAGTGCAATGACTGAGCTGAGTTCAAACATGCATGAGACTCAGGGTAATGCGACAACAGAAGAGCTGTGGATGAAATTCAAGACAACAACCACTGATGCAGTGAAGAAATTCATACCACACAAGACCAAAGTCAAATCACCCATGGGTTACGACTGAAATCCGAAGGCTGATACACAGGAGAGACCGCCAGTACAAACGAATGAAGAAGAATGGCTCGTTCGAACTAAAAGCCGAAGTACTGAGGCTCCAAAGAACCATCCAACGCTTACTGCGCAGATCTTACAGGAGCAACCTGAACAGCATCTTCTCAGAGGAAGATACTCTGGCCAAGAACAAGCGGTTCTGAAGCTACGTCAAGCATCAAAGGTCATCAAACACCGGGGTCTCCCCCCCCCCCGCGATGGGAAGACAAGTTGATGTCTGAACCCAAAGAACAGGCAGACATACTCAACAGTTCCAGTCGGTCTTTGGGGATGGTAGAGAGTACTCAGAAGTTGAGTTCCTTCTGAAGACCAACATGATGTTCACAGCCTACCCCGCCAAGGGAGATATCCAGATCTCAGAGAAGGGTGTGCGCGAACTTCTTAAAGCCATTAGCCCCTACAAGGCATGACACATCAAACAAGGAGTGCTAAAAGAATTGGCCAATGAAATCGCTCCAGCAATAACAATCCTCTTCCAATCGTCACTATTCACAGGCAACGTTCCAACTGACTGGAGAACAGCGCATGTCACTCCAATCTACAAAAAAAAAGGGTGAGCATTATGACCCTGCTAACTACCGCCCTGTATCTCTCACTAGCGTAGTATGTAAACTAATGGAGCACATAATCGTAAGCGTGGTCATGAATCATCTGGAAAGACACAATATACTCAATGACTGTCAGCATGGCTTTCGAGTCAACAGATCATGCGAGACCCAACTTCTTGAATTTGCTGAAGAATTGACGACCAACTTAGAGAACAGCAAGCAAACTGATGTGCTTGTGCTGGACTTTTCAAAAGTGTTTGGCCGTGTCAACCATAGCTTGCTATTACACAAACTGCAGAGATATGGGATTCAAGGCACTACCAAAACATGGATCTCTAGCTTCCTCAGCGACCGATGCCAGGCAGATGGCAAAACCTCCTCCTTGTCAGTGTTAAGTCAGGGGTCCCCTAGGGCTCAGTGCTAGGCCCTTGTCTGTTCCTAGCATATATCAATGATCTGCCCGAGAAGCTGACCTCTCAAGCAAGACTGTTCGCAGAAGACACGGCGGCATATAGGACAATCGTCAACAGTTCTGACCAGAGCCAGCTCCAACAAGACCTCAATCGGTTAGCTGAGTGGGAGATGAGCTGGGACATGGAATTTCATTTCCCGTCAAGTGCCAGACCCCGTCAGTCTCCAGAAGCAGATCCCCTCTAAACCACTCTTACAAATTGCATGGCCATATTCTTGAGCCAGTTTCCTCAGTTAAGTACCTTGGTGTTATTCAAAGAGAGCACATTAACAGTGTGTGCAACAGGGCAAACAAGACCCTGGGGTTCTTAAGGCGCAATATGAAGATCGCCAACTCAAGCGTGAAAGAAAAAGCCTATAAAGCCTTTATAGTACTCTTTATAGAACTCTTGTAGAGTACGCTTCTACAGTCTGGGGGCCATTTACCCAGAAAAGCATGGACAGGTTGGAGGCGGTCCAGCGACAGGCAGCACGCTTTGTCCTGAACCGTTACAGAAACACCTCAAGTGTTGGCAGCATGCTAGAAACACAGGGCTAGTCAACATTGGAAGAAGGATGACGACTATCCAAGCTCACCATGTTGTACAAGATCAAAAACGGGCTGGTCCACTGCTCCGGCATCAAACAGACACTCGTTCATCTTCCCCCTAGACAGCGACAAGGCCACGACAGACAGTTCCGGCTGGTAAAAACAAGAACAAAGTACAGGAGCTCCTCATTCCTGCCGAAGACAATAGGGGACTGGAACAAGCTTCCAAAAGCAACAGTTGAGGCGGCTACATTTATTGCCTCCTGTATTCCAACCCCCTGTTTGTAACAAACTGCTGAGTAGCCCTTGCAACCAGTGAAGTATCCCATTGAAACCCATGCACAGTAACATTGCGAACCCCTCTGAAACATAGGAGCCAGAATGATCAATTCAGTGATCGTGGGCCCTCAAAATAAAGAAGAAGAAATACTCATCAACTTAAGACATTTAATGCATAGACTTTCTCAGGTTCAAGTATTCTAGCATTATCAAAATTAAGAACTTACATTGGCTACAAAGACTGTGTTTGTAATTGGCGGTTCAATCCCTAACTGTTGAAGAATCTGGGGGTTGATTCCAGGTGGTAGACCCATGGGACCTAAGCCTCCACTTCCCCCCATTCCAGGTCCCATTCCTGGACCACCCATACCAGGTTCCATTCCACCTCTGTCTCTCATATTTTGATGCTGCATGAATTCTTGGCGATCTTTTTCTCGTTCCTGTGAAACCAAATTGTGTCAAGGATGAAATACTGAAAATGGGGTGGATATATCTATAATCATAAACTGAAAAATCGATTTAAGTTTTTTAAATTACTTTTTCCCCAGCTTCTTGTCCCCAAATACAGTTGTTCACTTTAGAATGCAAAACAAATAAAACACTCTGTAACCAGGGAGTAAAATATTTGTGTTCTTTTGTTCAAAATGCCTCACAAAATTGAAAATCTGTTCAACAAATAAATCTGATTATATTTAAATACAGATGTGCTTATAATGCACAACCACAACACCTATGATTATTTTAACCTTTCTAGCACCGACCAATGTTTTTGCTACCTTGTTGTTTCCATGGCGCCTACTATAGCGCAAAATTAACGCCTACAGGAGCCTGTAGGTTTGACAGTTTTTAGACCCAGTGCCAACAAAGATATTGATTTAGATGAAGATCGACTGGAGGGGTGGAGAGGCCTCCGTACCTTCTTAAACCTTAGTACCGACCAATGTTTTTGCTATGTAAAGCCTCAGTACCGGTTATTATTTTGCTAATTATTCCCTGTGGCCCAGACATTATTTTGGAATGAGGCCAAAATTTGATAGGTTTACAAATTATTTTGTAACTTTTTTGTTTTAAACAATTAATAATAACATGTAGAGAATTATTGGTTCAGAAATGGATAAGGGTGTTAAAAATACTAATGTGTTTTGTTCACATTTTTCATTGGCAATGGCACTAGGGGATTATAAGAGGTTTAAGAAGGTAAGGGGGCCTCTCCACCCCTCCAGTCGATCTTCATCTAAATCAATATCTATGTTGGCACTGGGTCTAAAAACTGTCAAACCTACAGGCTCCTGTAGGCATTAATTTTGCGCTATAGTAGGCGCCATGGAAACAACAAAGATCCACATAAAAAACTCAGTAATTGGTCGAGTTTCATAATTTAAAATGCAAAATAAAATTTGACTATTCCCCAAACGAATAAACATTCTGCCCGAGCCTGGTAAAAGGTTAAATCCTCGTTTTTGTGTTTATATTAGACACCCTTCTAGGTGGCAAATAGATGGTCTTGGGCCACAGGGAAACAAATGGGCTGGTGAAGAAAGACCCGCTTGGGTCACAGGGGAAAAAAGTAGGTTACTGCAATAAGACACAACCTGTGCTTTAAGCGTTAAATAAAAAAATATAGAAGTTATATAAATGTTGATAATCCCACTCACTTCTGCTGCTGTTAATTAAGTGATGGAAAGCACTGATTAGATTAGCTTTAAAAAAAAAAACTTTATGGATATTACCTCTCTGACAATAATGGCTCTGTCTTTGATTTTCTTTTGATGGTACTCCTCTATGGCCTTCTTTGCATGATCAGGGTCCCGGAACTCAACAACCCTGAAAATATACAACTCTTAATATTTGCATAATCACAGCAAATTTTTTTGTCCTTGTCAAAATTGTATCAAGTGTCAAAAATTAAATAATTATTAAAATTATAGTCCAAAGTCATGAACATTTGACTACTCTTAACTCTTATTGTCTGACATTACACTCCGTCTGTCACGTGGCCAAACAAAATGGCTTCTGTATCCAGTAGTACCTTAAAAGTAAACAGACTATCTGCCTTATAAGCTTTAAAACTGATCATTTTATGGGAAGAAACAAATGGAGTGAACTAATTATCAAGTGAAGGGGCCTAGATCAGATTCCAAATATTAGTGGAGTAAAGATCAAGCTTCTGATAACAACATTAACCTTGACAGCAAAGAGAAGTTTCCCCAAACTGCAAAGGTAGAGATAAAGCCCTTGTTAAAAATAAGTACAAACTTGACAAAGAAGATCTGATATATTTAAATTACCCTTATATGCCGACTTTAAAAATCAAATCCTAATATCTGCTTATGACCGTATTATTCAGTGAATTACTTTAAGATGAATTTCATTATTCTTTCTGTTCACAAAGTATTCTCAAATTATTTTTTTTTACTTTATAGCATCTACACTATTACAGCTGTTAAATAGGCCTGATAATAATTTATTATTAGAATTAGACAGAATGTGTAGTATACTAAAAATATACCTATTAGTCTAGAGCAGGAGTCGGGAACCTTTTTATCTGAGAGAGCCATAGACACCACATATTTTGAAAAGTAATTCTGTGACAGCCATACATTATGTTTAAAACTAAAAATTCAAGTAAATGTGTGCATTTTGTGAAATTTCAACACTAAAAATGCAATAATTATGTCTCTGAATTCTTTTTAATAACATTGTTATGCTGTTGCTAATCAATAATGAGTATTTCTTAACATTAATGCAACTTTTTTTTAATAATCGAACAATTGTCTGCGAGCCAGATGCAGCCATCAATAGAGCCACATCTGGCTCGTGAGCCATAGGTTCCAGATCCCTGGTCTAGAGGTTTAAGAATTGTGAATTTTAAAAATAAAATTTATATGTTTAAAAAAATTTAACTTTTAACTGATTAACTACCAGATACCCGCTGTGGCCGAATTAAATCTAGGTCAAATTTTCTAATTTTAAGTGTATGTACAATTTCAGATGCAGTTTTCTTTATTATAAACATATTCCAATGATTAATAAACCAGTTCGTAGGTAATTAAATTATCTACAAAATAAACTTAAAACATTTGTAAGTTAAGTTTTGTTAGGAAATTATTAATTGTTAAATTATTATTTTCAAGAGAAAAACAAAAAATATATTCATGTGCCAACTAACGTATAAATTTTTAATTTCCTAATCATTTAAAGCCTTTTATTTGGTAGTTCCCAAATAGTATATCCAATAATAAGAAAAATGCACCAAAGAACACAGAAATTGAAAAATATTTACACTTCCAATCACTTATATGCCTTTAGTAACCCTGTCACTTGTTGCCGCGGTAAACATGTACAATTTGGTAACTAGCTAAAAAATTTAATCAAAACTAATTAACATTTTGTTTTTTAAATCATTCTGCCAATAGCATGCGTTTCGAATATAAACATCCGGTTGGTAAATTAAAATCTCAAAACGAAAAGGGAAGGGAATAATATAAATATTTGACTCGATTTACTACGATACTAACATTGGCACTACCAGCGGCTCGTGGCCATAATGAAAGAAACACAGCCGCTCCCAGCGGTTCATGGTAGTTAACAACAATTATTATGTATATTAGCTCTTCAATTCTCAGTAAAGGCATAAATATTAAGTTAAATGTCTAAAATAGCTGTTTCACTATGTAATACTATAAAACCAATTTTTTAAAATAGATTTCCATGAATATGACCTATATATTTGAAATTGGAATATAAATTTTATTTTTCATCCGATATTGATAATATATACATATGTAATACAAAAAATGAATATACTGTAAGAAAAAAAGCAAGCAAAATGTCTCTTGAACATAAAGGAATCTATTTTGCTTTTGAGGCAATGTTTTTTTTTTCAAACTTAAGTACATTTATCAACTGAACAGTTTTCTTTAGTGCTAGACAGTCCTCTAAAACTAATATAATTTTCCAATAGTTCATTCAATTCTGCACTGGTAGGTATGTAAAACATTGTAATAACTTAGAAATAGACAAATTTTGCATGTGATACGCAAAATCAAATGTTATTGTCTCAAAACGGCTGTGTCAAAACATGGATTAGACTTACACACACTTATCACTAAGAGTTAAAAAGACTGTGATGCTAATTTAATTATTTTTACAACTCATACTTACGCTACTCCTTTTGATTTGCCATCAGGTGTCTCCAACATTTCAACATATGTAACATCTCCAACTGTAAAGATCAAATATCAATTTTTCTATACACACCTTATATTATAATATTTAGCTTAATTTTTTTTTTAAAAATCAGTTTCTTAATAAATATTTTAAAAATATTGCTTATTAAATAACTTAATGAGCGACTACTAATAGATGAATTTATTTTAAATGGCACCCTGAACTTTTTTAATTCGTCCCACATGGATTGAACCTCATTGGTGTTTATTATAATCAAGAAAATATGAATTACTTTTTATTTTCAAAATAATAAAAAAGTGGTTACTTACTGTCTTTTCTAAACATATCCTTAAGTTCCTGCCATCGCACTTCATAAGGAATATTTCTAACGACCACACGCCGGCCCCCTGTAAATGGCCTTGGACGATCATTTCTATTTCTTCTGGGAGACCTGGATCTAGACCTTCTAACAGGTGATCTTGACCGTGATCTTGGACTAATACAAAAAATATAATTAGTTACTAAGGTGAATAACAAATCGTTAATAATATTCTTAAAGCAACATATTGCATATTCTTCTAGTTTTCAGGGAACTGTTGTATGTTATTTTGCCCCAGGATGACACACAGACTTCAGTGTTGCTCATTACGCAGATCAATCAGTTCATCTGTGGTCAGTTCCTGGCCATGTTTCTTAACCAGCAATTAAATTTCATCCTCAGACCTCTGGTATGTACTACTCTTATTTCAAGTTATCGCTCGTTTATCAGTCACAATTGTCAAAGACTTACTTAGCAGCAAGGCCCCCCATGTCTTTCACTGTATATCATATTTCACGTTTTCCCGACTGTGTGGAGACCCATATAATATGGGTCATGGAGGTTCCCCGGGTGAACTACCAGTCATAATTCAGTACCCAAATTTTTAAATTTACTACCTTTTATTAAATTACTTTTTAAATATTTATATTTATGTCTTGAAAGTAGCCCCCCCCCCCCCAAGAGTCCCATATTCTACCTCATGTCAACCTGACTTTAGGGGGAACTCCGGACCTGTCCATGGGCATCGGATTGGGTCATGGGGGTTCCCCGGGTGAACTAACAGTCATAATTCAGTACCCAAATTTTTAAATTTACTTCCTTTTATTAAATTAATTTTTAAATATTTATATTTATGTCTTGAAAGTAGCCCCCCCCCCCCCAAGAGTCCCATATTCTAACTCATGTCAACCTGACTTTAGGGGGAACTCCGGACCTGTCCATGGTCATCGGAGTCAACTCAGGAGCATGCCGCGGCATCAAACCAGTTTCCGGCCCCATGATTAGGTCCAAAAATGAAAGAAAAAAATTCTGATCGAATCCAGAGCAAATTGGTTCAGCCTGTCAAATTTTAAGGAATTAGATGATTCTGCATCTTTGGAAATTCTGTCGCGACAACCTTTACAGTGCTTGTTTGGGTGCATTAACTTATTAAATTGTGTTTCTTTTGTGTTCAGTTTTCAAAATGATCACTTTTTCGTGGGTTCACCTGTCATGTTTTCAGACATCATGTGTTCAGTTGTGGGTTCTTTGTCCCGCATTGAGTTGTCTAGTCATCGAAACCGGGGGGATGCCCTCAAGGTTATGCAGCATTACTGATCAGATATCTACCCAGAAGAGCCACTGTAAACCAATGTATGGGAACCTGACCACTTCAATGTCTGACCCTCCTAAAAACATTGCAAGGCCATGGAGACCACATTGATCCAAGTATGCTAATGTTTCTCCATTACGTCAACGTATCAAAGAATACGTCATCATATTCAGCTGACCAGGAAAACAGTGTCTAGACAATAGATATAAGGCTTGACACTCAACTTCGTAATAGAATTCCACCAACATTAGAGAGCGACCAAGGTCCACAAGCATTGGTTGACGTGTCATTTGTCATTGTCATGAGTGGACCAGGGAAATGTAATAAGCGGACAAGGGATTTCAGTACAAGGTGAGGTGTAAACGAGAAGCATGGTGTGTACACATGATCTTGATGTACTGAAACACAATTTTTATGCCGTATTGTACATGGTAAATGTGTAGTTAACAGTATGGGCTTTGCCAGTAGTTGCCTCACGCCTAAGTGCAGTGACTTCACTTTTGGGAATACCAACAATGGACTTAACGTAACAGGACAACAGTTGGACCTGAACGATGAGAATGATAACTTTGAACATTAGGTCTATTTGTATCAAAAACCATATAGTTTATATGAAATAAAATTTTCCATTCGGTTTTTATCAAAAGAAATAAAAAGAGAAAAATCATCGATACCCCAAGATGAATACTAGAAAAAAAAAGTGAGTGTGCTTGGTTAAAAGTGCTGTTACTGTTAGTTGACAATGAATTCAAATACCAGTGTAGTATGCCACATCTTTATACTTTTTATAATTTAATTATGTCACAATTTAACAGGACTTTTCAACATACTTTTTTCTGGGGAGGGGACCCCTCCCAAAATCCCTCGCCACTCTTTTAAGACAAAAATGTAAAAAATAAAATAAATTTTAAATATTTTTGAGAAAAGGAACTATGGGCAATCCTCCGAAGTCCGGTCCCAAATTATTTCGTACCGGTATGAAAAAATATGCAATGCACAGTGTTTATTGTTAGAAAACAGCAGGCATGTCAGTCCTAGCTTTTGCAAATAACTGTCACTTTACAAACCAGTCAGTAAATATTAAATATTGTAATTGGCGCTTAGCATTTGCAAATACCAGCCGACAACGTTCTGATTGTGACTGTTGCACCACTGAGAGGCCCCCCAAGTAGCTGGCAAACAGACCACGACCAGTACCACTCTGATAGCGGAGTTTTCGTTTCGTTTGCATCCAAAGTCCTTCAATATGTTATGTGTGAATGTCCTGGTCTACTGGATCAACAAATTCATGCGCGCGCAGATGACAGTTTGTGCATAAATCCCGTTGTTGAACTGACCGACATTTTGATATCCTCGCCAAAGCGTCCGTGACGATAGCTGTCCCTGGTAACATATGATTAGTGATAATGCGCCGAGTGTTTGTGTATCTCGACGGCCAACAACCTCCATCCAACATCGTCCACAACCGCAAACATGAATTTTAAAACAACATGATGTCTAAGACTTTTAAGTAAAGAGTAATCATTGGAAATAATTTGGGACCGGACTTCGGAGGATTGCCGAACTGCCGAACTATGGCATGGCCAGTAAACATTTACATGGGGAACCTCCTTGACCCATATACAGTGGAGTCTCTGTTTCATGTCATAGCTTAGTAAGTAAGTTAAATTAGTTAGTTAAAAACTAATTTGACTTTGATTTGCCTAAGTAAAATGACAGACAGTGGAGGATGGTGGCATTTTTTGGTGGGGCACTCATTTTGCTTTTTTATTAGTACTCTCAGAGACTACCGACAGTAGACAAGTGTTTGTTCAATTAATTGCCCACTTTTCTCCTCTTTGTAATTCAACAATAATTTATTGACAACGAAATAGTCACATAATTGTATAAAAAATTTGACACTTTCAACAAATAAGTAAAATTGGTAGATTTAAGAAACACACTGAGCCGTCAACGTGAAAGTACTGATCAGCAATCGTAAGATTCAAAATTACCCACAAATTTTAAGTTTTCATAATTATGATTCCCCAAAGAAATAACGTGACAGCATGATAAATAAACTATATAAAATTTTAAAAAATACCGTTCTGTCTTTGGTTCCGACATGATTTATTGTTGATCCCTTTTTGTTTTTAACCGTATAAATTTCAAAGTAGTAGCGTCGGAATGAGGAATTAAAATATGGAGGTCGGTTTCATGCTTCTTGCCAGATTTTTATGAAAAGTAACTCGACTCATATTAATAGCTTCACTAATTCGCATGTAAGCTGCACAATTTAGAAATAACAATGTTCTTTTCAGTAAAAGATATTGTAAACATAATTACAACACAACCTGTTATAAATATCCAAAATTTGCGTTGTTGTTTAAATATTTATTATTTTTTAAACTTCTTTATTTTATTAGTTCGAGAGCATCTTTACTTTAGCCTAAATTCTTACTCAAAATTATGAATTGATTCAAAATAAATATTCTATTCTATTATCAATTTTAAGTCGTTAATCCTTAAAGATTGCAGTTGTTTCAATTTTGCATTCTAAAATTAACAGTATAAGTAAAAATTCTGCCATCCCCATACTTTTTTCAGTCACCGCGTGGGCCCTGGCGTGGCCCTAAGCTGCAGTCCTCGGGGGGCACAGTGCCAGTCGGCAGTAACTATAGGCGTAGCTAAAAGGTGGCAGATGGGACGTAAGTCCCGGAGCGCCAGACTAGAGTGGCACCGAAACGGGCTTTGGTGGTATTTAATGATTGAAATAATTAGTTTCAGAGTTAGGAGGGATAAAAATAAATCATGTCCCCTGACGCAAACACTCTAGCTACGCCAATCCCAGTGGCGTAGAAAGGGGGAGGGAGAGGTTGTTCAACCAGGTCTAACTTTTTCTTTTCATGGAGGTGCGGCATTTTCGGACAACTCTAGAGTTTGTACCGTGAAAGGGAGAGCGACACTAATAGTAACTACGCAACTAGGCAGTGTATCTATCGTCATCACAATTAGCGATAATTTTAATCGGGGTGTAGGGTAGAAATCGAGTGCGCCGATGAATCTTGCTTTTATTTAATATAAATAAAAGGAAAACAAAAATCATAACGGTAAACTCAGCCAACCAAGAGCATATCTCTCTGGTAGGAAATCCACCATTAACTTAAATGGTGGATGTCGGGGCTAGTATTGGAAAGGCTAGGTCAGCATTTGTGCCATTAAAGATAAACTGGGAGTCAAAGGTCCTGACTCTTCGAACAAAAGTCAGAATTTTCAACACAAATGTCAAAGCAGTCCTATGCTATTCTCTTATACTTACATGCAGAAAATAAATAATTGCCTTAGAAAGATCCTAAACATAAAATGGCAAAACACAATCATCCACAAAGACTCACTAGAAAGGACACACCAGGAGCTTATTGATGAAGACATCATAAATAAATGATGGAGAAGGTTAGGGAACACACGCCGCAAGCCCCTAGATAGCATCAGCAGACAATCCATAACATGAAATCCACAGGTAAAAAGAAAGAGGGTAAGCCCTAAAAAAACAACAACACGGAGACCTTGAAGCAACAGGAGAGGAAATCACAGACCCGAAATGAATGGAAAATTCTTGTAGACGCCCTATACCCCAGACCGAGTAAGAGGCAAAAATAAGTAAGATGAATCTTGAGCAATGGAGGGGGTCTGCCTTCTCCCCAGAATTTAAAAAAAAAAACTAATTCAAAATCAAGTGGTGCATTTTGGAGTATAGTTGAATTCAGTACGTCTTTTAAACTTTTTTGATCAGGGGTCATCCATTAATTACGTCAACACTTTAAAGCAATTTTTTACCCCCTCCCCCCACTTGTCAACAACTGTCAAACTTTCAATGACCCCCTGATTAATTATGTCAACATTTTCTACACTCCCCTCCTCCCCCCAAAAAAGGAATTATATTATAAGTTTATTTATATTTTACTTTGTGCTGAACTGAATGACAATAAAATTGTAAGAAAAACATTTCATTACATCTTTAGCTTGTTAATCAATAAGTTTAAAAGTTTTTACACTTAAATTTTATAATGCAAAATCAATTAAAAGGTTGTTAAAGACTAAATATCATTGTTTGAGGAAATTAAAATATTATAATTGTTATTATAGCTGACAATTGTAGCAAAGTCTTTAACTACCATCATCTTTCCAGAGCAGTGTTTCTTTCAGAAATTTTCCCCCTGGTGGGCATCTCAGATTTTTGGAGGGGGGGGGGGCAGTGCCAGTTTGTTTATTTTTGGACATATTTTTGCTACGGGGGCACTTGGCTTTCCCGGGAGGCACTACTCCCCCTCCCGGAAATATAGCTGAAAGAAACCCTGCCAGGGAGTAGCCAGCCTTTCTCTAGTCTATCGTAACAATGGGCATCAGGGACATCATTTGGGTAGGGCAGGGGGGCATTTGCTCCCTCCCACTATTTTTCAGGTTTTATTTAAATTGCTATGTATTGTGGCGCCTCCAGTAATAAACAACTTAACAAGACCAAGTTTTGGGTTTTTTCCCTCTCCCCACTGAAAAAAAAATTAAATGACGCCCCTGATGGGTAAAGTCTATAGCAGCTGATTGATCATTTTAATCTTGCGGCACTGATATACCAGACAAGTCAACATCATCCTCATCTAACCATTCAGCACTTAAAATAGAAGCATCGTGGATGTGAGTAATAATTGCCATAAGCTCTCTCTCTCTCCTTGCAGCTATTCGCATTGGTCGAATCCTTTTTTGTTGAGGAGCAGGTGCTAATTTCTTATGCTCAAGATTGCATTTTCCATTCTGTTAAACATGCTTTTTCAACATGACTTGTAATGCAAAATAAATGTTACAGATTTTGCAAAATCATTCAAGCAGCGATGTTATTATTGTTACTCACTTTACTTCCCCATAATTCTCAAGGTATTGTATTCCTACTCTATCAATATCATTTATCTTGACTGCACATGGCACTTAAACCTTGTCCTTATTCCATACCTGCAACAGAATCTACATGTGAAGAGAGACCTTGCACTAACAAAGTGTGCTAACATTCTGACCAGCCATCTGCAGTACACAGACACACATTAAATAAATCTTATATTGTTAAAAGCCTAAAATTATATGACTATTTACAATCATTTATATTTATAATTTTTTTTAAATTAATGTAATGACCTGTCAATTTTTAAGATTAAAATTGTAATAGAGAAAACATGATTGTTGACGTCAACTAATCTAAAAAAAAACTCCCTCCTCCTTGTTAACAACTGTCAAACATTTCCAAACCCCTTCCCCACTATTTTGGTGACGTAATTAATGGACGCTCCCTCAGGGGAAGGACATTTTTAAGGGTCTGTGGAGGCATTATGGCGCCAGTGCCATACATAAACTAAATTCACTCCATTTGTGTCGTGCCCCAGGGTAATCATTTGGTAAAAGTTTATATTCAACCCTATACTATAACACTGTTAAGCGCGAGGGAAGGGTGCAGAAATGTGGGTGCTGAAGAGAGTCGCGTAAAGTCAAAAGGCAGGTGTGCATTTTGGCGCATACTTGAATTCGGTGTTTCTTTCATATAATTTTGAAGTGAAATTTCAAATTTCAGCGCGGGAAGCGCCAAAATTAGCCATAATAATTATCAAAGATATGTTTGACGCCGCACCAGTGGGACATGAACTAAATTCATAACAGTTGTGGCACCCATTAGGGTATGCATTTCCCTAGCTTAATATTGCCTATTAAATCGTTATAGTCCCCAGAATTTTTTTTTAAATTCAAAATACATGAATGTATTTTAGCAAATAATTTAATTTAGTTTTACAACATTCTGCACTTAGAGGAAACGGAGGAGATCCTAGTTTTAAAAAAAAAAATGTAAGTGACACTTAACGAATGCAGTGGACCTAGGATATTTTACGGACTTATTAAAGATGTGATGTGGATATTTTCCTGCTTATCACATTTCATTGCAATTTTTAAATATTTTTTGGGGGGCGGGGTTGGGGGGGGGCGGCATAAAGTGGTAAAAAGGGCCTCGAAAACTTGAACGAGGACTCTGCTTGGCATGCATGTGTTATGCAAATTTTAAAAATTATATTACTGAATAGTAATGTGGCTTTCATTTTTTATTTAAACCTTTTTCGGGTTTAACTACATAGTTAATTAATTAATTTTCAAAATAAAAAAAAGAGGTATCCATTACAAAAAAGCACAGCTAACATCATTGTATATGTTGGACGCAAATGAAAAAATACTCAAAATAATCAACTTAGGAGTAATAATTACCTTTGTAAAATATTTCTAGGTTTTACCAGAGTCAAAAAGAAAAAAAAACAACGGTTAAGCAGAACAGAAAGGTATATACATTTTTATGGGTTATCTTTTAAACTTCATTTTTATAAATCGTATATCAACGGCATTATTATGTAAAGAATACACGAGTTGTTTACAAAATAAAGTATACATTTCCCAATGTTCAGTTGATTGAAATTTTATTTGGAATTTCAAACTACTATAACTTTTTTCAGATAAATTAAAAAATTGTCACTTAGATATATTTTAACTTTTTTTTTTTTTTTTTTTAAATTGACAATTTAGGAATAAAAATTTATTCTAAAAAAAAAAGTACCAAAAACAAAAAAAATAAATTAATAAATAAAAAAATGGAAATGTTATGATAATCAAAATTCTAGTTTATAAAAATATTCTTTTTTTTCTGATAGATTCTCATCTTGAACAAATATATTTAAAAAAAAACCCCGTGCAAATAGATGGGGCACTTTGTTTATTATTCTGATATTAAAAAGACAAAAGCAGTTGGGAATTTAATAAATATAGGCTAATTATTTTTGTAAACCTTTATTATTCAGGAAAATTTGTTACAAAAGTAGAACATTCAAAGAAAACACAAACACTTTCCATATAATAATTGATGAAATGTGCACTTTTTGTATGCGCCTGTTAAATTCATAATTGAAAAAAAAATCTCTCTCTCAATTTTCTTAAGTTTACATTTTATATAACTCAACATTCATGGAATCGAGTGCATTTATTATTGTGCTTATAAAAGTATTTTTAAAGCCTAATATCATCATACAATTTATAATTAACACCTATCCCTACTTTAAAAGTAATGCTTTTATAATGAAAAATATAATGTGAAAATAAATTGCGTATGTTTGATACTTAGCAATAACTTTTATTAGAATTGTAGTCCTTG